ACAGTCACTTAACTATAGAAATTGATTGGGACTAATACTGTGTATTTACCCCAGCTCAAACATAGAACCTATATTCGTCACATACACCGTGACTGTGTCTTTACACCAGTGTTAATTTTGTCAACTTTTAGTCGACTAATAACTAAAGTAAAACTAAAACAATTCAGATGACTAAAATCCGACTAAAACTAAAATGGCATTTTAAGCAAAAGACTATGACTAAAACGAAATTGAAATTTTCTGCCAAAATTAACACTGCACAAAAGTGCTGTGGAAGACGCAAAGAGACAGACCAGGACTTGGGAGAGAGACACCCAGAGGGGCTGGGAAGACACAAAAAGACACAGAGGGGCTAAATAAGGGGCAAAAGAGACAGAGGGTTTCACTAAACCCATTAGATTTTAGTTGTGTCAACTAAAACTAAAACAATTCAGATGACTAAAATACAACTAAAACTAAAATGGCTTTTTAGTCAAAAGACTAAATTGATATTTGCCGCCAAAATTAACACTGCTTCACACAAGCTCAAACCCAGAGTATATATTGGTTACATATACTGGAGCTATGTCTTTACACTAATTTATACATAGAGCTTGAATTGTTCATACACTGATCAGCTACAACATTAAATGCACTGACAGGTAAAGTAAAAACATTAATTATATTGTTACAATGGCCACCTGTCAAGGTGTGGGATATATTGGGCAGCAAGTGAACAGTCAGTTATTTAATTTCACGTGTTGGAAGCAGGAAAAATGGGAAAGTAAAAAGGTCTGAGTGACAGACAGGAGCCAAACAGTGATGGCGACTGGGTCAGAGCGTCTCCAAAATGGCACGTCTTGGGGTTGTGCCCATCTGGCCCAACCACACAGAAGAGCTACTGCAGCTCAAATTGCTGAAATACTTAATGCTGGCCATTATAGAAAGGTCTCAGAACACTCAGTGAATCGGAGTTTGTCCATGATGACTCCTGTTAACCGCTGAGAGCGTCTTCAATAAGGACGTGAATGTCAGAACTGGACCATGGACCAATGGAAGAAGGTTGCCTAGTCTGATGAATCATGTTTTCTTTTAGATCATGTGGATGGCCATGTGTGTCATTTATCTGAGATACACGCTGTAGGGTTATCTCAATTTCTTTCCATCCTATGTATTTACCTTGTATTTATATTAAACTACTGTATATTTTCAGGCAAACACAGCTAGCCACTTTTGTCTTTCGGCATTGTGACTAGCTTTTGTGTTTTCTTTCCTTTTTTGAGATCGAGATGGCAGCAGGATGCATATTGGAGAAGTCAGTCCAGGAGAGACAGTGTTATGTACTGGACATTGTTCTGCTGGGAAAACCTTGGGTCCTGGCATACATGTGGATGTTACTTTGACACATACCACCTACCTAGAGATTGTTGCAGACCATGAACACTCCTTCATGGTAATGATATTTCCTGATCATACTTTCAGTAGGATGATGTTCCATGCCACACTGCAAAAATTGAGTTTAAGGTGTTGCCTTTGCCTCCAAATACCTCATATCTCAATCAGATTGAGCATCTGTGGGATGTGGTCCCACCTGCAAATTGCAGGATGTAAAGGATCTGCTGCTATTGTGTTTGTGTGTTGTATTAGTGTATGCAGTGTGTGTGTTGTGTTAGTGTATGTTGTGTTAGTGTATACAGTGTGTGTGTTGTATTAGTGTATGCAGTGTGTGTGTTGTGTTAGTGTATGCAGTGTGTGTGTGTAAATGTGCAAACTGGGGGGGGGGGGGCTTGGGCATTTTCCCATTAAATTTTTTAAATTTTATATTAAATTAAATGTTTCTCCCCCCTCCCTGCTTACCGGTGTCCAGAGAGGGGGGAGATTCCATGATCCCTGGTGGTCCGGTGGCATGGGGGGCCCCCCTGCTCCCTGTTACCGCAGAGGGGGCCCAGCACACTGCGTCTACTCTTCTTCTCTCCTCTCTTCCAATAACTCTTGCGAGACCCGCGGAGAGTGCCATGGTAACCGGGTCTTGCGAGAGTTATTACTAGAGAAGAGTAGACGCAGTAACAGGGAGCCGGGGGCCCGCGGCTGTACACATAGATAGCGATATTCGCTATCTCTGTGTGCAGAGAGGGAAAGTGGGGCCCAGGACTGCCAGAGCAGTCTGGGCCCCGCAGGACCGCCGGGCCCATGACAACCATCATGGTTGTCACCCCTGATGGAGGCCCTGGCCGTGACGTCTTGGGGACGGTGACTGTAAGGATACCTTCGCGAGCACGGAATCAATTAGCCACTTTGCTTATGATAGGTACAGGCAAATAATACTATTGCCGTACCCGTATCTAACACTCGATAAACCCTAGATGGTCAGGGGGTCTCGAAAATGATACCCTGCATGTATATTGTAAAGTCCATATTAGATGGCAAAAGATACAAAATGATACAGGATTACAGTGCCCATACTAAATTTCAGAGGGAAAAAGATGAAACAAAGTATAGTATCATGTATCTAAATATATACTGTACACAGATCAGTACGAGTTCCCAGGCACAAATTTATCACAGCTAAAGACACTAGCTATTGCAAAAGGCTGTGATTAAAGGGACACAATGCTTTCCTATGCACGCTCTGCGTGATTGAGGCATAATATGCCTCAATCATTGCCGATGCGCCTCTAGTGGCTGTCCGGAAGAAAGCCACTAGAGCAGGCATGTCCAACCTGCGGCCCCCCAGATGTTGCTGAACTACAACTCCCATGATTCTTTCAATGAAACAGATAGCCAGGGAATCATGGGAGTTATAGTTCAGCAACATCTGGGGGGCCGCAGGTTAGACAGCCCTGCACTAGAGGCTGGCTTAACCCCAGATGTAAACATAGCAGTTTCTCACAAACTTATATGTTTACATCAGACAGGGTTAACCCTAGAGGGACCTGACACCCAGACCACTTCATTGAGCTGAAGTGGTCTGGGTGACTATAGTGTCCCTTTAAATTTGCTATCAAATAGAGCCCTATTTAAAATTAGGATATGTGAGTTATTTAAACAGAATACTAGGTATGAATGCTTAATGCTTATTTGGTTGCTTGCTTATTTGCCTTCTCCTTTCTTTTAGGAATATGTAGACATAAGGTTCTTTTCTCAGTAAAATTCAACCCAAGCTTGAAATTATAGTATTTTATAAGTATAAAAGGTAGGACCCAGAAAGGGGGGGACCTGTATCATATATTTAAGGTCTATGATTCTAAGATCCTTCGAAATATAAACAGTGCCCTTTTGAGTTCTATCTTGAGTTCTAACAGTAATACATTGTGGAAAAGGAATTATGTTCCATCTCTTAAGTTGCCACAATCAAGTCTTATAAATATAAAACCAGACCCTCTGGAGTGAATAGTATAAAATTAAGCTTTTACAGGAAAGGAGAGAAAGAGAAGCCTTCATTGAGTCCCTTTGGGCTTAGAGTTTTTAATCTATATATCCAGAAGGACTCTCTTTGCCTTAAAAATTTATCATAGTTGCCTCTCCTGGCACTTTTTTTTCACTAGTTCAAGGTTACAGATGCGTAACCCTTTGAAATCTCCTTCGTGGTATTCAGGGCCGGATTAACATAGGGCTGATGGAGCTGCAGCTCCAGGCCCATGCTCATGGAATGGGCCCCTGGATTTAAAAAAAAAAAAAAAAAAAACTACTCTTAGGGTTGCCACCTGGACGGTATTTATTTGACGCTTCCTGGCCGGTGCCGATATTGCAGTAATACCGGCAATACAAACTCTGGTATTTTTCTGAGAATAAACAGAGTTTACTCTGCAATACCAGCACCAACCAGTAGGGGCTGGGGTCGCTGTGTATGGAGAGAGGCGGGGATAGGAAGTTACAGCATAACTCTGCCTCTCTAAAAACTGTCCAAAAACTGGATATGAAAATCTATGCGCTAAAGCAACACATTAACGATATTCATCAGGCGATAAACCAGCAAAGAACACTTCTCCAAGATGTGTTAACTATTGTGCAAGACACAGTTGTTACAACAAATTTGCATTTGGAGTTATTTGCCAAGTCCACTGAGTTGCTCCAAAGTCACAACTTATTTAAGCGTGAACTATTTCTGCATGACCCAATATTGTTGCTTTTCTTGACGAAGTGCAAACCGGAATGATTGACTTGGCAGGGGGAAGCATACCTCTGTATTTTGTATCCAAGGATATTGTTCATGCGATGCTCGCCAGCGTGGATGGTGAGACAATTGAACCTATGCAATTAAATCTGGCCTTGGAGATGGGCAGCGCTATACCTCTCTTAATTGATCTGGAACGCATGGAGATTTGCTTTTTATTGGCCATACCGTATGTAACTCCCAAAAACATTTTTCAAATGAAAACAATTTACAATGTCGGTACATGGAAGGAAGATATTCACGTTAAAGTTCAAACCCCATTTGTTTTGGCTTTTCAACTGTGGGTACCGGATTGGTATTCGATACCCATTTTGAATGACTGTGAAAAATTCAAAGACAATAATTTCCAGTGTGATGGAAAATCTTTCATGTACGATTCTACCAGGGCCAGATTAAGAGCCCAGTGGGCCTGGTGCTGACAATTCTGACGGGCCTAATTACAGAATCATATAGACCAAAAACAGTAAAACACTCATAAGCATCATGTATCTGATGGAGATGGTGCTGGAGAGAAAGAAAACAGCAGCTATAAGAAAACACATACCCTAGGCTAATCTCTCTCTAATTTATGTTTTCAGCTTTCAAGTAAATCCATAACCCCTAACAGCAACGTCCAATCAAGCAGGAAGTCAATGGGGACGGTAAAAGGGTTTGCCACTGACACAAATCACATAACCTGCCAAAATGGGCAAACATGCCCAAAAAGAGGACATTTCTGCTCAAAGAATTAGAAGGCCAGCCTGACATGAATGCATGTCAGGCTGCCTGCCAATCATGCAGCTGGCCAACTAAGGGCATACTATGCAGACAACACCCTGAGCTTGGCATAAATGCATCTAATGCTGCGTTCACTCAATGCTTTCTAAGGACTGTCCCCTAGCACTCGCTGGTCCACTTGTCTCCTTACCTTCTTACTATCAGGCAGAAGATCCTGGTATATGGTCTGGGACAGAGTAAAGCTATATGTAGTGAGTGTAGAAGAAAGGGAACATGCCACAGTGTTAGAGAGACCAAAGTCAGCATTACCTTAAAGGATCACTATAGGGTCAGGAACACAAACATGAATTCATGACCCTATAGTATTAACACCACCATCTAGCCCCCCCTGGACCCCTCATGCCTCCATAAATATAGCAAAATCTATATTCAAGCCTGAAGCTGTAACTCGGCATGCTGTTAGACTCATAAAAACAAGCAGTCTGCTGACATCATTAGAAGTGGTGGCCTGATCCAATCACAGTGCTTCCCCATAGGATTGGCTGAGACTGACAAAGAGGCAGATCAGGGTCAGAGCCAGTATGATTCAAACACAGCCCTGGACAATCAGCATCTCCTTATATAGATGAATTTCATTAATGAATCTCTATGAGGAAAGTTCAGTGCATGCAGAGGGAGGAGACACTGAATGTTTGGATGCCCTTTAGGCAGCCATGACCCAGGAAGGATCTCTAACAGTCATCTAAGGAGTGGCCAGTGAAGTTATCACTAGGATGTAATGTAAAGACTGCATTTTCTCTGAAAAGACAGTGTTTACAGCAAAAAGCTTGACGGTTATGATTCTACTCACCAGAACAAATTCAATAAGCTGTAGTTGTTCTGGTGACTATAGTGTCCTTTAACTATATTCATTGTCAGCCAGTCCACACAAGTTTTGTTCCCATACATCCCACTTAAGTTTCCATACTTAAGTAAGAGTATGTGAAAAGTAGTTAGAGTTGCCACCTTTCTTGGAAAAACATACCGGCCTTACTAATTTGCATAATTAAAATGTATGTATGGGTGACATCACATGATGTAAATCACAAGGAGTGACATAAGAGAAAATGCTGTAAAATCACCAAAAAACTACTTAGTTTGATTCTGCTGTATAGATGGATTCCTCCCAGTGCCCCCATGACTCAGTGCCCCCATGTGTCGATTACTCCAGGTCTCAGTGTTCCTATGTATCAGTGTCTCAGTGACCCATGTCTCCCAGTGTCCCTTAGTGTCTGCCATAATGTCTCCCAGTGTCCCTTAGTGTCTCAGTGTCTGCCATAATGTCTCCCAGTGTCCCTTAGTGTCTCAATGTCTGCCATAATGTCTCCCAGTGTCCCTTAGTGTCTCAATGTCTGCCATAATGTCTCCCAGTGCCCCTTAGTGTCTCAATGTCTGCCATAATGTCTCCCAGTGTCCCTTAGTGTCTCAGTGTCTGCCATAATGTCTCCCAATGTCCCTTTTAGTGTCTCTGCCATAATGTTCCCAGTGTCCTTAGTGTCTCAATGTTCGCCATATAATGTCTCCTGTGTGCCTCTTTTAGTGTGTCTCAATGTTCAAGCTATATAATGTTCCCAAAAGTCCCTTTAGTGTCTCTAAAGTGTTCGCTATAATGTTCCTAATGTTCCTTAATGCCCTACAGTGTCTGCTATATTGTCTCCCAATGTCCTCCTTAGTGTCTCAGTGCGTGTCTTCGCTTAAAGTAATGTTCCCATCCCTTAGTGTCTCAGTGTCTGCCATATTGTCTCCCAGTGTCCCTTAGTGTCTCAGTGTCTGCCATAATGTCTCCCAGTGCCCCTTAGTGTCTCAGTGTCTGCCATATTGTCTCCCAGTGTCCCTTAGTGTCTCAATGTCTGCCATAATGTCTCCCAATGTCCCTTAATGTCTCAGTGTCTGCCATATTGTCTCCCAGTGTCCCTTAGTGTCTCAATGTCTGCCATAATGTCTCCAAGTGTCCCTTAGTGTCTCAGTGTCTGCCATAATGTCTCCCAATGTCCCTTAATGTCTCAGTGTCTGCCATATTGTCTCCCAGTGTCCCTTAGTGTCTCAGTGTCTGCCATAATGTCTCCCAATGTCCCTTAGTGTCTCAGTGTCTGCCATAATGTCTCCCAATGTCCCTTAGTGTCTCAGTGTCTGCCATAATGTCTCCCAGTGTCCCTTAGTGTCTCAGTGTCTGCCATAATGTCTCCCAGTGTCCCTTAGTGTCTCAGTGTCTGTCATAATGTCTCCCAGTGTCCCTTAGTGTCTCAGTGTCTGCCATAATGTCTCCCAGTGTCCCTTAGTGTCTCCCATAATGTCTCCCAATGTCCCTTAGTGTCTCAGTGTCTGCCATAATGTCTCCCAGTGTCCCTTAGTGTCTCAGTGTCCCCATGTCTCCTTGCAGCCTTTCCCCCCATCCCTTACTTCCCTGAGCTGTAGGCTGTCTCTGCAGGGTGGGAGTTGCTGTCTGGACTCTCTGTAGCTGCACCCCTGCAGATCAGTGAGTATAGATAGGCAGGGAGGGATATGCTGGAACTTCCTATCCCTGCCTGTCTCCACACACAGCGACCCCTACTGGCCAGTGCTGGTATTGCAGAGTAATCTCTTGTTTCTACTGAGAAAAATACCAGCATTTGTATTGCCAGTATCACTGCAATATTGGCACCAGCCAGGCAGCCTCAAATACTGGCTGTGCCAATAAAATAAAAGCCAGATGGAATCCCTAAGAGTAGTGTGAAAAAAAAAAAATCAATGGGCCTATTCCATGGGCCTGGGCCTGGAGCTGCAGCTCCATCAGCCCCTATGTTAATCCGGCCCTGGATTCTACCAATGCTTTGTGTGGGATCGAGTACATTTAACATGACTCTGAAACATGTCAAGTGACTATGTCCAAAACTGGCAGTAGTGATTTGGTACATGCTATATTAGTAAAAGATAAATGGTTGGTTAGCACGTGTCTTAAAAACATGAGTGTTTTTCGCAGGGACCAGGTGACTAATAAAGTAATTGCCTTACCAGCACCTGTCTCACTGATCCAGGTACCCCACGACCCTCGTTTCACCATCGGTGACGTTACGCTATACCTGGTGTACACTAACGTCATTGAAAGTGCTATTGAGATGGTGGGTCCCTTCCAGAATCTAGATATCCCACTAGATTCTAATCTAAAATTCTTGCTAGACCATAATCCCAACCACACCATCCAAATGTCAATCAGAAAAGATAACATTTCTGTGGACACATTTAAATACTCTGAGCTAGATACTGACCTTATTGCTCGTGTTGACTGGTTCATCCATGTTAAAATTGTTATTGGGTTTACTATGATAATAATGCTGTTATGGTTGATTGTACTAAGTGTAAAGTTCAAAGCTCTTACGGGTACAAAAATATGTAAAAATGTTCATTACACGCACAGACCTATGCCAGAAGAAGTGATGTGAGTGCACAATATGTCTTGTAACTTCTATAGTGCTTATTCATAGACTAAATTAATCATTGCTATGTTAATCACTAAGGGGGGGTATGTCAGTATATTTATATCGGCAGACATTTTGTGCTAAGATAGAAATTAAAAGTGTTTATTGCCAATCACACTCAGAGCAAAGCTAACTCCATGTTGGATTTAAAGGCTTAGAAAGACATATAATTTGTCTTTCCGTAATTCTAGTCACAAGCCTGAGCTAAGGAATGCGTTATGTAAACAAGGCAATGAGTCTAACAGAGATGGGGTGATGGAATACTCTTCTTAATACTCTTCTTAATGTTAGCTTTACCAAGGAAGCCAGACACCAGTGACAGATAAAACTTAGTAATTAATTTTACTTTCTAAATCTTACAAAGTCCCATTCTAAGCACGGGTTAAATTAAGGTTTAGACATGTCAGAAAGTAGATTTAAAGGTATATGCAAGACACTATGTCTAGGGAAATCCTTTGAAATTGACAGCAAATTTGAGTTATGCAGTCATAAAATAGATAAAGGAATGACATCGAAATCATCATCAGATGAAGTTAACTCTTTCCAGGATGAGAAATTTTGGTGATGTAAGGGCGCCATCTACTGACCAAAATCTAGATGGTGGTCTGTGGGTTAGACACACCTACAGCTCCCTATAGGTCCGATCAACTACTGACGGACAGAAAGTTTGGCCCTTTAAAAAGTGAGAACAAAGGGAAGAGAGGGACATTCAGAGAGATTCAGGACACTCTGGGACTAACACTCAACTCTCAAACTCTCTTGGACACAACTCAAGAAACACTTCCTGGACACTTGTGTGTGTGTGTAGTGTTTGCATTTGAATGCAGGGGTGTGTGATTGTCTGTAGTGTTGGCGTTTAAATGCAGGTGTACTTTTTTGTGTAGAGTTGGTGTTTGTATATACTTTTAGCATTTTAATACAGGGATGTGTTTGTATTTGCATGCATGGGTGTGTTTGGATGTAGTGTTGTCTTTTAAATGTATATTTACATCTGTGTGTAGTATTGATGTTTCAGCAAACGGGTGTGTTTGTATGTAATGTTTGTGTTTGCAAGGGTCTGTTTGCATGTTGTGTGATTTCTGGTATGTATGCACATACATATTAACACATATACATACATAAACACACTAACACATTCTCACACCTTGACACATGCATACACCTTGACACATACTGGCATATACACACACACACTCAGATACACACACTTTGATACACACACACATACATACACACACTGGCACATCCACACACAGAGATACACACACACTGACACAGGTTTGTACACACACTCAGATACACACATTCACAGAAGTATACATGCAGGGATGTATTTATGTACACTGCTAGCGATGGAATGTAGGAATGTATTTGTGTGCAGTGTTGGCATTATAATGCTGGGATGTATGCATTACTACACACTCAGATGCACACTTACACATACCGACACATACATACACACATTCAGAAGAACACGCACAGGTACACATACACACTGATACACAAGTACACATACACAGGTATACAAACACACAGACACACTGACACAGAGACAAACACAGCCAGATACACACACTTACATAAACACAGCCCTTTAATACTGCTCTGGACCGGGGCCCTGTCCAGGGCACGAACATCCGAAACCCGCTTGCACGAAATGAGGAAAAAGAGGGAGACCAACTTGGCTGACAATTGTCGCAAGGATAGGTCTGTGTTAGGAGGCCAGGAACTGAAAAGAGACAAGACACAGGAGACATCCCAAGTGGAGGAGTAACGAAGCCTAGGAGGGAGCGACAGTCGGGATCCCCGAAGCAATCGGCACACTAAGGGGTGTTGGCCCGACCTGTACAAACTAATCATGCGATACGCACGGCCAGCCTCAAACAACGATGCTAGGAATTGAAGGATTGCAGTTACAGGTGCCGAAAGCAATAGGAGGAATCCATCCAAGCAACAACCTGGGTAAATCCACTGCCAGCTCCAGCAGCTGTGGGAACCAGGACTGAGTCCCCCCAAACGGGGCCAGCAGGATCAATTCGACCTGTTGGCAGTGAACCTGGAGTAGGACTCGAGGGATCATGGCAAATGGAAGGTAAAGCATATCGGAGCGAGCCGTTCTAGTCTTGCAGGAAAGCGTCCACTGCCTCCGCAGCCGGGTTTGGGCGCCAGCTGTAGAACCGCGACAATTGGGTGTTGAGACGGGACGTAAATAGGTCGATGGCAAAAGGACCCCAGAGAGATGAGATAGCAGAGAACACCGCCACGTCCAATCTCCAGTTGCTGCTGTCTGAAAGATAGCGTGAACACCGCTCCGCGTGAATGTTGTGGAGTCCCGGGAGGTACTCTGCCTGGACCACCAAATCCCTGGCCAAGCAATACGTCCAAAAGTCCTTCGCTAGGTGAGCCAGAACTGCAGACTGTGTGCTGCCTATGTGATTAACATAACCGACCGCCGAGACGTTGTCTATGCGCATCCAGATGCATGCACTGGCAGTCCCGTTTGGGAAACTCTGAATTGCAAAGGAACCGGCTAGGAGCTCCAGAGTGTTGTTGTGGAGTCAGGCTTCATTCTCCGACTATCTTCCCCCTGTAGTCACACCTTTACAATGGGCACCCCAGCCGTGGAGACTTGCGTCAGAGTCCACGGTGAAGTCCGGTAGGGAACCGAAGATGGCCTTGCCATTCCAGGCAGAGAGGTTGTGGATCCACTCAATTTGTCTCGCGTCTCAGTGTCCAGAGAGACCATGTCCGCGTAGGAGGTGCTGATGCGGAGAGGTGCAATCTTCAGTCACTGGGGGGGGCACGATAATGAAGAGAAGCCAGGAACACCACTTGGATTGAGGATGCCAGCAGGCCAATGATCCGTGACAGTTGGCGTAGTGTGATCTGAGGGCGTAGCATCAGTGCGCAGCGTAATTCCTTGTATATGGTCCGAATCTTGGACGTTGGAAGGCTCAGTGACTGCACTCCGGAGTCTACAGTGAAACCAAGGAACTCCATGCATCTCAAATAAGTCAGGCAGGACTTCTCCCAGTTGAGGAGGAAACCCAGGTGAGATAGGAGGTCTATCGTCCTTTGCAAGTGCCTAAGGAGGATGGAGAAATCCTGTGCCATGATCATGTTATCATCCAAGCAGACGAACAGACGCATGCCCCGATTGCATAAGTAAGCCATGGCCGGGCGCAGCAGTTTTGCGAAGCACCAAGGTGCCGAAGAGAGCCCAAAAGGAGGAAGACATTTAAAGTGCCAATTGTCTTCCCTCCAAAGGAAACGCAAGTCTCGACCACTGAGACCGCCAAGTACGCGTCCTTCAGATCCAGTTTCGCCATCCAGTAGTCACAAAGGAGTAGATCCCGCAGAAGGTGAATGCCCTCCATCTTGAAGTGGCAGTAGCGCACCAAGGCATTGAGGGGACAGAGATTGATAACGAGGCGCATCTGCCTTTCTACCAAGAAAATGTTGCTGGGAACCCTGGCAGGGGACGTGAGTGCTAGTTCGATCTCCCCTTTCTCGTAAAGGGCCAACAATTCTATGTCTATCAACTCGAGATCGCATAGGGAGAACAAGATCGGGCGAGGTGGAGTAATGTGACCAGGAGTACCAACCAACTCTATGTGAAAACCTCGAACGATGGCCAGAACCCAAGCATCGGAGGTGATGGCTGACCAAGCTGGGGAAAAATGACAGAGTCTGCCCCCTACACAAACCTGAGGAGAAACATGAGGTAGATCAGGGACGTAGTAGCCGCAAGGCAAACAAGGCCTTTGCCTTGGGCGGCATTTTCCAGGTGGTGGCAAAAAAAAAGCCACCCCCAAATGCCCAGAGCAAATGTCTTGTTAGCCTGGTGGCTTGGGCATATTGCAATGTGAGCACAATACTAGACCCATTAAAAAAAAACTACAGCTTAAGGCAAAATAATAATAATATAGGCTAGTAGTGGTTAATCAACCAAACTAGCTACACCAAAGAAGGAGAGAAAGGGGAGCGCACCAGGGCCCAGATCAGCAGACAGGGTAGACACGAGACAAAGACAGAGCCAGAAGGAAAGGTAAAATCAGAAAATGTCCGCCACCAGTCTCGGGAGACTCACAGCAAAAAATCCTGCGAAAGCGTCCAATTCGCGAACCGAAACTCTGCAAATGGGACGAATTCGTTGAACAAACTAATGAACGGCCATTCATGGCAAAAAGAGTGTGTATGTCTAATTTTTTACTACTTGTGTTTTTGCATAGAAACACTATATATAGTGAGATCTCTACAAATAGTGTTTCTATGCAAACACAGTTTGGCTGAGGATGGGGGCAGGTATAGAAAGCGAGCTGAGCTGTCAGTCAGACAGCTCAGCTTGCGAACGCGCATTCCGCGAACACATGCGTAGTTGAGCGCTGAGTTTCTTCATAGGGCGGCATTCAATGCCGCTCTATGAAGAATGCGATTGGTGCAGTGCGAAACCGCCCATGCGCACAACATCGCGATGACGCTTCTCAAGGAGAAGTGTCCTACTGGGCCCTGCGATTGCGTCATTTTTACAAAAAAGGGGGCGTGGCCTAGCGGGGAACTCGGCGCAGGAACAGAGGTAAGTTTTATTATTAAAACTTATTCGGATTTTTTTATGGCAAGTTCATATAAAAGCAAGAAAGAAGGCTGGGGGACCTGTCTTTCTTGCTTTTATATGTTGACTATAGTGTCCCTTTAATTATTTCGGACAACTGTAAGAGTTGTTTTTTCTAAACCTAAACCTCAGTATTCAGGTTTAATTGCAGTGTTGACAGTTTCAGGAAAAAAAGTTGGTTTGTATTGCGGTTTAGGCACTCAGGCTCAAAAATGTTCGCCATCATGCGATAGGGAGTCATAAAACTAGACACTGAAAACCAAAGCACGACTCTATCTATATATTATATACAAGTTTTTTTTTTTATATTTCTGGCTTTCATTCAGTTCAATCTCAGGCAGGAGTGAAAAAAACTGGAGCAAGGGAAGCTGCAAGCACCACAATTACGGTGCACAGTGCTGCGTTATTATTATGAGAGCCTGCGCGGGAGGAAGCAGAGGGAGTCAGAGTGGGAACTCTGACTCCCATCAACCTGAGCCACCACTGGACCCCAGGGAAAGTCACTCTCCTGCACTTAAAAAGTAGGAAACAGGAGGGTGACAAATATTATGTGTGTGTTTGTTTGTATGTATGTATGTGTCTGTCTGTCTGTATGTGTGCCTGTTTGTATGTATCTTGTGTGTATGTGTGTGTCTGTATTGATGTATGTATGTGTGTCTGTCTGTTTGTATGTTTGTCGTGTGTGTGTGTCTGTCTGCATGTATGTGTGCCTGTCTGTTTGTATGTATGTGTCTCTGTATGTATGTGTGTGTGTGTGTGTCTGTCTGTCGGGGAGGGAGTAAGAGGGGTCCCCTGGGGTCCCATGGGTTGTGTGTACGCCACTGCAAGGAGCCGTGCACTTCCTTTGATTATTGTCAAACGTTTTCAAACAGCTTGAGAAAACCCAGAAACCGGGGTACTGAAACCATCAACCTATTTAATGAATGGTATGTAACTTTTTTGACATTCTTTATTTTTGCAGTGCAGAAATAATACAGACAAGTAAATACATATCAGCAAGGACAAAAATAGTGATTCAGATTGACAGTATATATACTCGAATACTCAATGTAATATACAGTAAAATAACATGCAATAACAGTAAAGCATAATCATCTGTGTGTGAGAAAACCCATATCATAGGAACTCAGACGGTGATTAACATTGTCAGTGTATGGTAAGAAGGCTGCACTCTGTATTAGCATTAGAAACAGTGAGAATTACTCATGAGTACCGTCACAAACATATAGCAAGTGTCATGAATGCAAGCAGCAGCATAGATATACATAGAGCCAATAGTCCAGCATAGATTAATAGGAGCGCAAAATATAAGATAGTAGAGAGATATTCGATTAGCAGGTAATAGGCTATGATATGCTGCTGTCAACTGTACTGTCAGTGAAAGGTTAGACCCATAAGCAAAAAAACAAAACAGAAACAAGTTAAGAACAAGTTGGACAGATGGACTAATTGTTAAATGAACACTATATTCACCAAAGCAACTTTACCTCAATTAAGTTTTGGTGTATAGATAATTTCTCTGAGGTTTTCACTGTCATTTTGGAATTGCATCACTTTTTTAAAAAAAATTCTGTTATGCAGCCCTAGTCACACTTCCCCTGGTTGTGACTGACACAAACAAACAAAAAACACGGACACCCGTGAAAGAAGTGATGAAACACAACAACTTAACTGAAAAGTACACAGCTTCCCAAGGTTATTTCCCAGCTGATAACCTTATAGCAGAACAATGTTATTGATAGGATATTTGGGATTCTGCTGATGTACCTACAATAGAGGACAAAACATAGTGCAAATATTGCTACACACTATAAAACCATTGATGAAAAGTATACACTCACATATTCCAAAGAATATAAGCGTATTCAGGGTGCCTCCCCCTAGATATAAATGGGGGGGGGGTTATTCTCCTTTAATTCTCCCTCCTCAAGTGTAAGCCAATGGAGTATCCAGGTCAGCAAGAAGATCCAAACAATTGCAACCAAAGGAATACTTGAAAGGCAATTTATTCACTTTTAAAATTCAAGAGGTGTATAAAAATACATAAAAACAAAATAAGAAAGAGATGCTGGTCCTACGCGTTTCGTCCTTGTACAAAAAGGACTTACTCAGGGACCTCTTTCAGCATAAAATTCAATCACCAGAAATACAGAGAATAAAAAACAGCATCCTAAAAACGCTAACACATGTATAACCTTATATAGGGCTAATCCCTTACAGTCATTGGTGGAACAGTGGGTGTTTTCTCCTCTTTGACTCCTATTCGTCCAAAATTTCTTGTCTTCAGCTGTGTTCGCTTGATCGAAATGAAAAAAGCCAGGCTAGTTCTAAATTCGGCCACTTCCGCATACGTCATACGTTAAGTTCGCGTCACGTGTTCCGTGATTGATCACATGATCGTTATGCGTTCCACATTCAGGAAGTAAAATGGACGTGCGTTCCACAGTGGTGGCAGCCTAGAAAACATCGTTTTTCTTTTACCTGCTAATTATACACACATAACTGGAAACAGAAAAGCTGTTAGGAATCATATAAGAAAATTTCAAATTTTGAAAATATATAATAATTGTCCTCAAACAATAAAAAACTAAATACCATTCTTACAATGAATGTGTAACAATTTCCTATCCAAGTTGACCATTCATAACATCTATCATAATATTGCAAAAAGTATATATATATATCATAACATTACAAAAAATATATATATGATAACAATTAGTTATTAATGAATTCATATGTTCATATATTGACATAAAAGTCTAGTGCACCAACATAGTAAACGAACCTATTAAAGTGCTTTAATCTTTTTAAAGTGACATAAGTGATATTATACTTATTTGCAAATCTATATATATATTAAGTGACTTGAGAGTTTTTATTAATTATTTCATGCTCAATTACATATCCATATTGTGTAAACTAAAAACAATTAACCAATGAATGTTATTATTTATTAATTGTTGCATATTCAATTACATATCCATATTGTGTAAACTAGAAATAATTTGACCAACCATATACTCAATGTTATATTCGATTTAGATAAAACGACATGAGTAATATATGTTCAATTTTAAATGTATCTTTATGCATTAACAATCAATTAGTTCAAAAAACAAACAATATCCAAGCTCAATGCTTTCCTATGGACGTTCAGTGTGCTCCTCTAGCGGCTGTCAGTGAGACAGCCACTAGAGGCTGGATTAACCCTCAGTGAAACATAGCAGTTTCTCTGAAACTGCTATGTTTTCAGCTGCAGGGTTAAAACTAGAGGGACCTGACACCCAGACAACTTCATTGAGCTAAAGTGATCTGAGTGTCTGTAGTGGTCCTTTAAGTGTGTGTGCATCTGCATGCACTGGCGTACATACCGCGGTCGCAGGGGTCGCAGCCCTGTAACCCCTGCGACCAGGTGCCCACCGCCATGTGTTGCGGCCCGCCGGGGGGGGGGCCACGGATCAATTTTCGCACCGGGGCCCCATGGGTCATGTGTACGCCACTGAACCCGACGTACCTGCTGAGGTAACTCGGCTGTGGGAAACCTGTGCGTGAGGGGCAGCATTCTGCTGGCTTTCTTTGCACAGAAAACATTGAAGATTCTATGAAGCCGAGACATGGTAGTGAGTTGTAAGTGTGTGGTTGGCACATGGCAGCCACCATGTTAGGTGGGACATTGTGCTAGACCTCACTCCCTCCTATGTTTCTGTAGGACCCAAGGCTGATAGACACCAGGATACCCCTCACGGGCAAGGTGGGGGAACTCTGGGGCTTGACCGGAGAGGTTCAACTTCCATATCAGCCACTTCTCCACTTAAGCCTGCAAACTAGACTACTTCTGCAGTAACTTTAGGTTCGATAATTACGAACAAAAAGTCAGCTATTTAGATAATATTCAGGATTCTGCACAGAACTCTAACATAGTGCGACTATTCAGCATGGCGGTGAGGCCCCGCCCTCCCCACGGTATGTAACTTTTTGATGTTGAAATTGATCCATTTCATTCAAATAAGATTTCCAAGTGACTGGCATCCAGTACAGTAACACTTCTGAATGTTTACCCTTCGATTTGATACAATCTGTTTAAACTCACTATGTACTTAACTAACCTAAAAGTGACATTTTCTCGGCTACTGCATAGCATCATAGGTAAAACGTACCAAAAGTAGCCAGTTCTCTGGAGTGATGTCAAAAAACAAGTGATCTCGTTATGAGAAAATCAAGGTCCAAGATGTCACTTACTGATGATCCACTTCTCCTGGCATCACGGAGCATTTTCAGGCCACTCTTTCCCCTTGCCCTACTAATTGTAAATCTGTAAATACTATATAAATGCTAATAATAACTCCGTTGAGGACCATAATGTGCTTGCTACTGAAGGTAATCAAGATTTTTTACATTTTTCTTAAGAGACATCTGCCAGCGGATCTCCATGTGGTGAATGAAGAAATGCAAACATTGACCAGCCAATTAAAAAAAGCAACAAAGTAAGATATAGCAGATTCTCGCCTTAAAGGACCACTATAGTGCTAGGAAAACAAACTCTTTTTCCTGGCACTATATAGTCCTTAGACCCCCCCCCCACCCTCATGGCACCCCTCCTGCTGATCTGAAGGGGTTAAAACCCCTTCAGCCACTTACCTTAAGCCAGTGCTGGTGACCTCTCCTCCCCCTCCGATGTCAGCTCCCGAGTGGAGCCGAATGCGCATGCGCGGCCAGAGCCGCACGTGCATTCAAACTGCCCATAGGGAAGCATTTCTCAATGCTTTCCTATGGACGTTCTGCGTGCTCAATGCGATTTTTCGCAGAAGCGCCTCTAGGCTGGATTGACCCTGCAATGTAAACATAGCAGTTTCTCTGAAACTGCTATGTTTACAGCTGCAGGGTTAAAACCTGGGGGACCTGGCACCCAGACCACTTCATTGAGCTGAAGTGGTCTGGATGACTATAGTGGTCCTTTAAAGTATTGATCTTAGACACACACAGGGTTATTCACTAAAAAGAGAATTTCAAATCTAAGCCACAGCGGGAAAATTCTCCAAGTCAACTATGCCTTCAGTTCATCTGGTTTGTCTTTAAATGTAAAATTAATTTTTAATTTGCACATTACTAAGTAACCATGAAAGGGTTATATACTAAAGTAAAAAAAGCCAATAAATCAAAGTTATTTTAAAAGTTAAGGCCAAAATAACTGCATTGAAAAATTTCTGCTAATTCAGTTATTATGGTAAAAAGTTTGAACATTTGATTCACTTTGAATTCTCAAAAATATTCCCTTTAATGAATAAGCCTGACAGCCCTAAGCCTCACTTTCCAACCTAGCGTTGCTGGTTGACATTTAACCACAGCAGGAAAAAGATTCTGTAATCCATAATCTTTTACATCAGTGTTGAGGAGTTCCTCACTTTTTATGAATCCTTAATTTTGCTTAAAGGGACACTATAGTCAGCAAAACAACTTCAGCTTAATTATCATTATTTTATTATTTATATAGCGCCAGCAAGTTCCGTAGCACTGTACAATGAAGCCATTTTGGAGTATCGGCAATGCCTCACAAGTTTCACTGCTCAATTCTCTGCCATTTAGGAGTTAAATAACTTTTCTGTCTGTCTATGCAGCCATAGCCACACCTCCACTCACAAGCCGGCATGAAAAAAAGGTTACATTTTCAAACTGATGTTCACTAACTTTAGAAGTTTTATCTCTTGCTCTGTATAGTGAACTTTAATCATACACAGGATGCTCCTGCAAAGTGTGGAAAGCTATTAACAGTGCAGGAGATAAGGAATTCTAAGTTAAAGAGACTGTGCTATAAAAGGAAGTATAAACACTTTACAGGAAGTGTTTAGGAGGGCTGTGCATGTTACATGCAGAGAGGTGTGACTAGAGTTGCATAAACAAAGTAATTTATATACTAAATGCAAATAATTGAGCAGTGATACTGCAGGGGCAAGATCTTTACACCAAAACTGCTTAATTAAGCTAAAGTTGTTTTAGTAACTACAGTGTCCCTTTAACCCCTTAAGGACCAAACTTCCGGAATAAAAGGGAATCATGACATGTCACACATGTCATGTGTCCTTAAGGGGTTAAAAATGCTAAAGCTATCTAAATAAACTGCACTTACTAAGCTCACACCAGCATCCTTTGCTTAGAATGATCTTACCAAGATGTTACCATCCAATGCCAGTTATTTCTTAACAAAACCCCTATAATGAATATAGTGAAAGAGAAATCAGTGTTTGGCTTTGAAACACGCTAGTTCCCCTTTCTCCAAGACTTTATACCCAGTGCCAGCCAGCATTACGATCAGAAGCATATTTTATTATAGTTCCTAAACACTGACAAAACTGTCACAATGATCTTTGGAACAGTACCTAAATGACAAATTACTAAATTCACATCTACGCATCAGAACAAATTCAAATAGGACACTGACCGCAGTCTGTTTCAAGTAATAGGCTTGTTGCTAGACCCTAATCTATTCTTTGGCCTTCACATCGAAAAAAAAAACCTCTTCAAAACTTTATCTAAAACTAGATGCCCTATACAGAAACAAGTCCTGCCTAAGCCCTACAGAAAGGAAACAAATGCTAATGCCGATCATTGATTATGGAGATGTAGTGTAGGCACCTGCGCCGCAAACCCACCTTCATAAACTTAATACAATTCATTCTACCGGTATGTACTAAAATGTAATTACTTGACCCACCAATATCACATGTTACAAGAGCTAAACTGGCTATAGCTGGAATCCTGGCACACCCTTCTTCTTACCAGCCTTGTGTCTTTTCTGAGAAGCTCCTACCCGAGTAGAATGCTCTGCCCGGCTGTTCCCACCTCCTATAACCTCCAATCCAGTACCAGCACACTATTTAGCATACTGCAATACAAAAATAAAGTGGCTTGATCTTCATTTTTCTAAAATCCTTTAAGAGACTTATGGCAAAATACCTTAATACCGAATACACCTGTTATGGTTGACTATATTTATTACCTGTTATTTGTTATATATATATATATATATATATATATATATATAGCAAAAAACAAGAAAGTTATGGTGGAAAAAATTGTGATTGAAACCCCCTTCCATCTGAAGTCAGCACAATTTTCCATTTTAAACATGTATTCCTTGGAGTTTGTGTTTACTTTCTTGGTTTTTGCTTTGCAAGTACTATCAAGCCTCAATAGCAAGCCAGTAACCAACCTCATGCTGATGTGTTGCATTAAAGGGACACTACAGCCACCAGAACAACTACAGCTTATTGAATTTGTTCTGGTGAGTAGAATCATTACCTTCAGACTTTTTTTGCTGTAAACACTGTCTTTTCAGAGAAAATGCAGTATATACATTACAGCCTATTTACATTACACTTCACTGGCCACTCCTCAGATGGCTGTTAGAGATCCTTCCTGGGTCATGGCTGCCTAAAATGCATCCAAACATTCAGTGACTCCTCCCTCTGCATGCAGACACTGAACTTTCCTCATAGAGATTCATTGATTCAATTCTTCTCTATGAGGAGATGCTGATTGGCCAGGGCTGTGTTTGAATCATGCTGGCTCTGCCCCTAATCTGACTCTTTGTCAGTGTCGGCCAATCCTATGGGGAAGCACTGTGATTGGATCAGGCTACCACTTCTGCTGATGTCAGCAGGCAGGTCTAAAGGAAACATGCACAAGGCATGCAGCTGCATACTTAAAAACAAGATTTACTATATTTAGGGAGGCATGAGGGGACCAGGGTGGCTAGATGGTGCTTTTAACCCTATAGGGCCAGGAATACAGGTTTATGTTCCTGACTCTATAGTGCTCCTTTAAGAAGAAGTGTCTCTAGGCACTGTCGGATAGACAGCCAGTAGAGGTGTGGTTTAAAGGACTACTAAAGTCACCCAAGCCATTTAATTTCAATGAAGTGGCCTGAGTGCAGTCTTCTTGTCCTTTTGAATCATGCTGGCTCTGCACCTGATCTGCCTCTTTGTCAGTCTCAGCCAATCCTATGGGGATGCATTGTGATTCGATCAGGCCACCACTTCTGATGATGTCAACAGACAGGTTTTGACTATTTTGAGTCAAACAGCATGCAAAACTACAGTTTCAGGCTTGAATAAAAGTAAGATTTTAATATTTTTAGGGAAACACAAGGGGCACAGGGGGGCTAGATGGTGGTTTTAACACTATAGGGTCAGGAACACAGATTTATGTTCCTGACCCTATAGTGATCCTTTAAATTAGACAATCAAGTACACAGATCTATAGGAGATTGCTGGTGGTGAATTTTTTTTTTTTTTTTGTATTTACACATGGCACCAGAGAGCTTTGGCTGTCACTTTTTATTCAAGTTTGTACCAGGATATAAAAGTTGTACACCATACACAACTAGTATAATTTATATTACCAACAAAGCTTTTTTTTTCATAGACCTTAGAATGTTTTGTACACGTTTTTTAGACTTAAATGATGAGTTAACAGATATTTTTTTTTCCGTCTCCAGTACCCATGTCTTATACCGATCTTTACTGACCTTGAATGTAAAAAGACTAAACTGACCCTGCCAAGAATAAAACCAACCATGTTGGAACAAGTACTGCAGTCAATACATTAACCAGATGAGCATTGTTAATGTCCTTTTGCCCTACAAACCAGAGGTTATTTATACCAGTTTGCCATACAGGTTTTAATTTCTTTAAACCTTCCCCTCAAAGATACACTAAATACCCGATGTGACAAACTCCCTATTTTCCCAATGTTCAAGACATTTCTTTTCTATTTCCTATATTATATTCCCCGAACACCATTCATGTTTCCCCAGTTCGGGAGCTGCAATCTACCGAACACCGACCACTCGCTGGCTCATTAACTATAAACCACAAACAAAAGCGCTCTCCCTGTGTGGCCGCCGTTCGTATAACCGAACAAGTGCGTTGGAAACCGCAAGCCATCTTGTCGCACGAACGCAGGCAGCGGCAATTGGTCGTTGAGCGTATGGAACTCAAAGTAGGATACCCCCTTGTGCAAACCTTGGTGATCTTGCATTGACGCCTGCTTCTTTTCCCGACAAGACAGGAGAGCGCTGTTTGGTAGGATTGTTCACACAAACTAGGCAAACAATCGCTACGTGTGAGCCAGGGGAACCATTTGACATTTTATTTGTTTCTGAACTCCCAAAAGTAACCAACTGCTACCACTATTTCTCTGGAACTAATTTGGACATACGCCACGTGCGGTCGGTCAAAATTTTACCCTTGTGGTGATCCGGCTTTGTTCATGGGATCTGAGCGCTATTTGGACAACTTGGGTGCTCAGATCCAGGCTTGTGGGAGTATATATATATATATATATATATATATATATATATATATATATATATATATATATATATTTATTATGTGTATTTTTAATATTTTTATGTTTTATACTTTGTAACTCTAGTGCTTGGGATATAACTAGTGTAAGCAAAGTACACCAAATTATCTTCCAGACACAGAGGCTGTGTTCGTGGGATGAGAGCTCTATTTGGATATGTTGGGTGCCAAGATCCAGGGATATAATGCTTGTGGGGGGTTCATATATGTGTTATGTATATTTTGAGGGTTTTGTATAATAGTTTGTAACTCTAGTGTCTGGGAGATAATTAGATTAATCAAAAGCTAGCTCTCTTATCTCCCAGACACAGAGGCGCCTGGGTGGGCTTACTGTACAAGTGAATGGAGACCCCATGCTGGGAGTATGTGTATATAAGCTGGCCACTAGGCCATAATAAAACATTACTCTTGTATCCTTCATTAAATCTTGGCTGATGTTTGGGTATACCTGAGCTATAATCACTGCTTCACCTTGGAACTCTGGAGATTAACAACAAATATACTCAGTAGGAGTATAGGGGATCCATTACACTGGTGGCAAGCAGCAGGATTTGTCTCTCTAAAGGATGTCGCGAACCGAAAGAAACCATGAATGGCCCAGCAGTACGAGCTTCTCAAGTGAACCACATTGAAAGATTTACTAGAAGCTCGAGGGATAGTGGCGAGCAACAAGCCGAAAGCCGCACTTATTGCTGAAGTCGTGGAGAGCGATAGAACCAGTAACACCGCAGGACACGTTTTTTCAAAGGGATGTAAGATGGAGGCTCAGCATCGTGGGGCACAATCCATCGCAGGACATCATCGTGCAGATCATGGCTCAAGCAACAGAGGCACTGAAATCCAGAGAGTCAAGAACAGGATCACAACAGGGAGATACAGCGTCTCTACCAATGGACAGCCACAGAAAGTGAATTATGCAGCGTTTAAGGCATTCACAGATGTGAGATGGACAGTGACAGCTATTTACAGATTTTGAACATCAGTGTGCTTTGGAGAGTCTGGAAAAGGCTAAGGGGGGAGAGATTTATATGCAGAATGAGCATTTTGCATGCACTGCGCTGCCCTGCCCAAAATTGAATGCAAGGATGCCCAACTGACCCTGGTGCAACCCTGCTCAGCATACCAGGCGCACCGTAGCCGTTGGGTGGCAGGAGGAGCCATCCACAAGTTACCTACAACATGGGTACACATTGACTGGGGTTCCGGGTCCAAATCCTTGGAAGTCAGGATCATGAGGGACTTACAGCACCAGTACTACTAGGAAATGATTTTGGGTGTTTAACCTCACAATTTGTTCCACCGACCACGGAGGAAGCGCTCCCAGTAACCAGCCGGCTGCAGGCTCGAGCGATGGACTCCTCAAACTCGCCATAATAAAACATTACTCTTGTACCCTTCATCAAGTCTTGGCTGATGTTTGGGTCAGCTATAATCACTGCTTCACATTGGGACTCTAAAACAGGTGAGTCCAACCTGCGGCCCTGAACAGCTTGTACTGTCCGGGCTGCTGGGTGGAGAAGGAGCCCATTACTTCCTGTGCTCTTTCTGCACAGCTCCCTTGTGCTCACTGTAGTGAGTAGGCAGCAGGGATATGACATCATCTCAGCATCACAACTGGGCGTGTAAGGAACCTGTGCAGGAAAAGCACAGTGTTCCCTTCACAGCAGCAACCACTGGCTACCAAGGAGGAGATTCACTCCTGTCCTCCCAGAGGGCTATACCCCAAAGTGCTTAACTTTGCATTTATCTACATTAATTTTCATCTGCCATTTGAATTCCTAGTCTACCAATCTATCTAAATCCCTCTGCAGCTAAGTAATATCCTGCTTACATTGTATTACTTTATATAGAGTTTTGTATCATCTCCAAACACTGAAACATGACTCAATGCTAATTTCAAGACTCGAATCATTTGTAAAAAAGTGTTGAATAGAAGCGGTTCCAGAATAGAACCCTGAGGGTCACCACTTACCACTTGAAAATTTTCCATTTATGACAACTCTGCATTCTATATTTAAAGGAACACTATAGTCATGAGAAAAACTACAGCTTATTGTATTTGTTCTGGTGAGTAATCATTTCCTTAAGGCTTTTTTGCCATAGAAAATGCAGTGTTTATATTACAGCCTAAGGATACCTTCACTGGCCACTCCTCAGATAGCTACTAGAGGTGTTCCTGGGGCAGTGCAGCACACAAAATTTTGTGTCTCCACCCTCTGCATAGAGACACTGAACTTTCCTCATAGAAATGCATGTAAAGGACTGTGTTTGGCTTGTGCTGGCTCTGTCCATGATCTGCCTCCTTGACACTCAACCAATCCAATGCTTTCGTATTTGAAAGCATTGTGATTGACTCAGAACATCACTTTTGATGATGTCAGCCAAGCAGGCAGATCAGGGACAGAGCCAGCAGCAGTCTGGACTAAAAGTAAGATTTTACTATATTTAGGGAGTGGCTAGATTGTGTTTTTAACACTTAAGGATCAGGAATACATGTTTGTGTTCCTGACCCTATAGAGTTCCTTTGAGCCAATGTTCTACCCAAGAAAAGACATTTCCATCTAGACCAAATTATTTTAGTTTGAACACTAACCGATTGTGAGGAACCGTATCAAAACACCTTGGCAAAATCCAAGTAGAGCCATTGCAACACTGATTTATACTTCTACTTACTCAGAACATCACTTTTGATGATGTCAGCCAAGCAGGCAGATCAGGGACAGATCTGCCATTAAGTTAGTTTTACATGACCTATGTTTAATAAAACCATGCTGATTGTTGCTAATAATGTGCTTCACAATTAATTCCTGAATATTCAAATACTTTACCAGCCACAGAAGTTGAGCTCACATATCTATATTTTCCAGGCAAAAACAATGCACACTTTTTGAATATAGGAATCACATGCCTTCCTCAAATTCTCCGGTACAATTCCTGAAATAAAATCTTGAAAGATGAAAAGCAGAAGTTCACTTATTTCCTCACTTGGCTCCTAAAGTAATCATGGATGAATACAGTCAGGTCCCGAAGCTATGTTTATATTTTCTCTTTAGTTGCTGCAGTACCTTGTCTTGAATCATACAATCACAATTATTCTGCAAGGTTTTTTGCAGCAAGCATTTGCATATCCCTTGTTATATCTACTGAGGAAAAATAGTTATTTGAAATGTATGCCTTTTTTGGTCTTATTAACTATCACACCCATTTGTTCTTTTTTTTAAAGTGTACCTCTGATTTTTTTTGATTTTTTTTATGTACGTAAGAAATGCTTTGTGGTTGGTTTTGCTCTTTTTGGCTATAACTTTGTGAGTGCAATATTGGCTTTGTTATATCTTATATACGATGCCTCTGATTTGTCAGATTTTAAATGCCCTTTCTTATTTTACATATCTCAGTTTACTTTCCCACATTGGTCTAAATTTCTTTCTTTGATATTTATTACCCATGGTACATACCAAGAAATTACGATTTCTCTTAAGTTCTCTTTTTTTATATTTAACTGTTGTTGGTGTAAATTATTTATCTTTTTTACTTATGTATGCACTGGGACTATTTTTTTGTTCATATTAAATAACCCTTTAGTAAGGTCTGCCTTTGGTAAAGAATCACATAGCCTGAAGAGACTTATTTGATAGTATTTTCAAATTGCATACCTATTGTGCTAAATTGTGTTATTGTGTACTTGGGGGACAAAGGATTCCATTTTATAAATTTACTTGGTGGTGGTAGCTTCTGATACTAGAGTTAAGTGTGGGTGGTTTAAGAGTTTTTTTTAAAATCATTCTTTTTGGTCTAATGCAAACAAATAAATAGTGATTTTTAAAGCTCCTTGGGCTACAGTCATAACACTATACAAAACACGCCCAAAGATTTAACTCTATATGAAAACTATTTGTTTCTCTAGGAAAGGGGGTATTTTAGAATGATCTTCAAATAAAACATATTTACATGTCATGCTTTATCATACAGGCATAACTTCATACAAAATAAAAACAACTAGACATCACACATAAAAATGATACCTTTATTTTTGTTTGTTTTTTTAATCTGAGTAAACCGAGAAAGCTTTTCTTGGTAGCAACATGATTGACTTTTTAATCATGATTTTTTTTTTACTTGTTGATTATAGGCCCAAGCAATTCAATACAAAGGCTTCCCAGCTAGGGGTGGGGGGTGATACAGAAAGTAAAAAAAAAAAAAAATAATAAAAAATAAAAATAAAAAAAATAAAACAAACCAAAAAACATAGCACAACTTAAAAGTGTGTGAAAAATGATTTGATCAGTACACAATACAAAAAGTGTCTGGGGTAGGGGGTGGAATGTATGCAACTGTGGGTCCACACTTTCCTAAGCAAGAGTGCATTTATTTAGGATAAAAATTATTTGGTCCAGTCAGGTTGGCTTAGGAATGTGCCAACATTTTTAAACTTTCTTAGTAGAGAAAAAAAAGACTTAACTTGGTCCTATGAAAATGTCTAAAGTAGAATTCACTGTCTCACCCTTGCCTTGTGTTTATTCAGAGATAACATTCAGGCAAATCATATAACAGAAAAGGTGATGTCAAATCTAGTAGACCAACCAATTTGGTCCTGCTACGGCAGCCTGTGTGTAATGCCGATGTAAAAAAGGAATGTTATATTTTTACAGTATTATGATCTCCCAATATTCACTGTTCCAGTTGGTTTTTCTCCAGTAATTGTGCTTTGAAACATGCTGCAAAATGTGGTATTGCAAAAATTTGTGCTTGATAACCACCAAATCCTTTCTTTCCCTATCCTTAACATTAGAAGCAGGAGCAGTTCTGCAATAAGTCTTGTTGCAAAGAAAATGACCATTCATGTGTGTTGAGGACTGTGTAATATGCATTGAAGCCTCAAACATGGCAGCTTTTATTTCAGTCAAACCACAATGGGGCAAACTAAATTCAATACAATATGATACCCATAAGAAACTGGAAATGACACTATACGAATAAAGGCCATGTTTTAAATGTATTAATGTTTAAACATACTATTTTATCATCCTTATTAACAGGCTACTCCACACTATCCTCACACAAAACACACATTTAAAAGGACAGTAAAGCTTAAACATAAAGTTGATTATATATAAAAGAGCACATTTAAAGATGTGTATGTACACAAGTCTTACGGAATGTATCTATTTTACTTTTATTGCTATAGCTAGGCATGAAATTCATCACAGAGAAGTGGCTGCCATTAGTTCATAGTCATGTGCATTTTTTTTTTTATGCTAAAAACTATAATTTCAGTTATAGCTATGTGGCGTTTCCACCCTATTAGAATACAGTTTTAATTTCTTTTTGTCATTCCTTGCTGTTCTAATTATTTGCTTTATCTCAAATGCGGGCATCTTCTTCTAACCTTCACGTATGTATGTAAGCGTATCGCAGTGTGCTATTTTATATAAAAACTATTTATGTATAGGCATTGCTCAACCTTTCATATTTTCTATAAGGCAAATTAAAATTAAATAAAATTAGAAAAGTGTGCAGAAATTTGGCTCAAGATGTTTGTGAGGGTCTGTGGCTACATTGGCACTTCACTGACGACCATTTATGATCTAAAGTATCTCAAGCAAAAAAAATGTCTGACTCTCCAAAACCGCATGAAAACTAAAATGGCTTCTGCAATTCCCCTAAAAGCTACTTAGTAACTCTCTCTGATGACAGTTATTTGCACAACAAACTGTTGGCACAGTTTAAATAAATGGAGAAGGCAAAAAGCTTGCATTATTAGAGGGAGCACCATGTCAGATTAGCCTGTATGCAATGCCAAAAAAATGGACCATAAGTCATCAAAACTCAACACTTAAGAAAACAAAACCACACAAAAAAAACAAAAAAAACACACCAAACAATGAAAAGAAAAATGTCCCTTGTATCTAAACTAAAGATTGTAAAATGTTACGGACCATGAGATCTACAACAGCAGTTGGGGACAAAAAATAGAGCGTTGAGGGACACAAATTTAAATGCACTAAGAAGACCGTTAATGCGCCCCTATATGTTCAACACACCACCTTTACTTGATAACCATACACAAACCGTCCCTTGATTAAATCCTTAAAGTCTGTTGTTGATGTTTTGCTATATAACAAAATGGGGAAAATATACACACACACATATATATATATATATATAAAATATATTGGGGGGAGTGAATCTTCAATGTAAAAATATTATAATTAAATCTCTCATGCTGTTTAACTAGACTATATATAGTTCTATTTTTTCAGTTTTAAACTTTAGACAACTGAATAGCACATTTTCTTGCAGCAAAGGGATATTTTGTGACGAGCCCTAGCCTGACGCCAGAAGGGTTGTGAACTGTACAGAAATGAGCATCTAAATAGATTTACGAAGACTCTTTAGACCCCAATCAGATGGGTGCAAGGAAACAGAGAACCCATCATTTCATTTGGAGTCAAACATCACAAACATGACTTCTGTAAAAAACTAAAACAAGAAAACAAATGGCCTCATAACCCTTTCTGTGTCAGCACGGTCTTCGTCCACTTACACCTATTTTCTTTACTAATCTGTAGGTGTAACTTTTAATGTTCCTAAATAATCCTTTGTTGAAATGGCCTTCACATAGCTGTGCCAAGAACATATAGTTGAATGGCCAATATCAGTGAAGGGGGACAATTTCTTTGCAGGAAGTGATACCATGAAATAAATGTTAAGATGAGGAAATGTATGCATTAAGAATCCCAAACAATTATTTCAAGGTATCACTGACTAGCTGCCACTTCATGAATCTGAAGGTTCATGACAGAAAATGGAACATTGGCTATTTACACCAAAAGAGTAACCAAAAATGGTACTAGTATTAAACCCCTAACAAATGAAAACAGTATTAGACAGTGAAGCAAGCAGTTCTATAGCTGCCATGGTATGCTTCTTTAATCTTTATTCTGGGTTAATTTTAATTTGAGGAGGGGCAATGATTTTCTTGAATGTGATTGTTGGAGATAAGGGATCCCACTCCTTAAAATCTATTAAAAAACAAAAACAAAAAAAAACTAAATTAAACCAGTGCAAAGCGCATACGCAGAAGTCAATAAGACATGAAAGGAGGAAAATGTGGGGAGTGGGATTCCACCCCAATATACTTCCTCAAGAGTTTAAGGATGAAGCAAGAGGTAATTATTCTTTCTGCATCTATGAGGGAGGCAGAAGAGTCAAGAGAATGCTGGAATAGAGGGTGAGGTGAAGCCCACCCCTTCAGAAGCTACATGGGAGAGGGCTGCACTGGAATGCTTCATGATTTTTGGAAAGGAGAAAATGAGGTGGGATCTCCTGATCAGATGGATTCCACATAATTTGCAGGAAGCATGCCTGTATCCCCTGTGCGTTCCACGGTCCCATACATCCAACCTTCATCAATCTGCTGCACATTGACAATTGTATCACCATCTTGAAAGGACACTTCATCTTCATCTGCTGCATTGTAATCATACACTGCACGGAAACGCTTCTGTTGGACAAAAAAAAGAACATGTAGCAGAGACGAAAATGAATGGAACACACACGCAAAAGTCTTTTAATGCAGCGTATACTCACCCCTCCTGCAGGGGTACTGCGCTGGGTGGACACTGGGACCACTGGTTCCTGGTAGCCATATTTGGCTTGCGGCTGGTGCTGCTGCGGCGGTTGCGGTTGATAACCTAAAAATTAAGCAGGGCAAAGATGACTTAAAATGAAACCTTGGAGGGAGGAGGTGAGCTACACAGGATGAAGTGAAAAGCAGCAGCTGGTAAATTGTTGCTATCTCACAAACCTGTCACTAATGGGGTCTTGGCACAGGGGTGACATGTTTTAATGAAATCTGTGGTATGATGTAAAGGCTCTCAGAATTTTATCCCTCATAACTACAAATTCTCTCTAGTCTCCTTCATGAGGATACCTAGCAAAGTTATTTTGAGACGTACAAACATTGTCATACAGATCTAACGTGCTCTGGCCAGTGATCCAGAAATGAAAACAAATGGCTTACCAGCTAATTATGCATTAATAACCATGTTGTACCTTCTCTTCAAAAACCTCGGTCAACATAATTTTTGGTTTATTTCGCAAAAATCCATTGTATATAATGCCTCGGTTTCTGAATTTATTTCGCAATACAGAGCAAATTTCCCCAGGATGCATTGCATGTTGGAGTCTGTGGGTAGCACGTGGCGTCGAGTGTGGAGGTGTTGGAGCAGCTTTTGCATCAAGTTTTGGATCCATTCTGGAAATTTTTTGCAGCGGTTTTGGGACTTTTTGGGTGTATTTCTGAAGCGCTGGAAAGGTAGGGAGCTGAGCATTGTCATTTTCATGTCTTTTACTGTGTGTTCTGCATTGTGGGTTGGTTTCCATGCCAGCTCATTTTGACTTTTTTCTGACCTCCGGAACAGATTAATTGGTTTTCAATGCATTCCTATGGAAAACCACGTTTCGGTTTACAAATTTTTCGCAATACAAAACGTCCCAAGGAACGCATTAAATTCGTAAATCGAGGTACCACTGTATAGTAATTTTACTAACTGCAGACCAGTATAGCGAGAAGGTTGGGATGCATTTTATCTATAGTGGGCTTAATCTTGAGGATGGGGCGGAGACAAGGTATAAATAGCTGATCACTCAAAAAGAGGAGAGAACAACACCACGTAGGTGTGCTGAGGAGCTGAAAAGAGGATGGCTCCCAAATCAACAATAATATATTCTGATAAAATTTCAGTTAAAAAATATGGTTTATTATTCCCATGTAAAGGGACACTCCAGACCCCTAAAGCACTTTAGCTTACTGAACAGCTTAATGTGTGAAGATTGTGTCCTTATTTTTTTTTCATTTTGGAATTGAAATTTACACTTTTATAAATTATACTGGTTACACCCTCCTGGTTTTTAAAGCAGACATCAGGACCTATTACTTCCTGGTTTGGCAAGATTATTTGCTATGAACTCAAGAGGCAGCAATTGCCCAGAGCACCTGCCTTGCAAAGACTTCTCATTCAGCTGCTTCGAGAAGTCTGTGATTGGACAGCCACAGAAAGTCTGGGCAGAGTTAGAAGAAGAGGGCTTGCAGAAGCAGCAGACAAGAGCTGCGGCTGCACGAGCTAGTTTTAGATCTAACTCCATAAAAATGTATAATTAAAAGCATGGATGTTTTAATTTGGGGTATATATACTAAACAGTGCTTTTTAAAAAATATTTTTTATTTGGACAGTGGAATGTCCCTTAAAAAAAACAAAACAAAAAAAACACACACTGTGCAGTTAAGGCATAATCATAATCAGCTCCTTTGTACCCCATCAACAAATTCCTACTTTGTTTATGGTATATGTTTTTAAGGTGTTGGAATTTCAAAGGAAAAAATCTTTCTGAATAAGGTGTGACAGTTGTCACCATTGCTGGGAGCATATAAACTTTGCCCTTTTTTGTAATTGTTGGCATCCATTTTCCCCACAGCTGCTCCACCTTGGGCTGGACTTACAAATGACTGGGGTTGTTGTTGGGAGTTATGGAACGGTTTGTGTATGTCTGATATCTCTCGTGATTTCCCAGTTTTTCTCACAGTTCAGCTGTGTCCATTATATGTGCAGAATGTGCATTATTTTTGTTTATTTTTTTTAAATCTTGTATGCTCTCCTGTCATGCTGGTGTTCTGTACAAACTGGTTGCAAAAGATCTTGCATGCCTTTGCAGCACCACCTGTTGTTGCTGCAACACTTATATTTAGTACCTGAAAGGCAAGGCTAGTTAATTTGCATATTCAGGTAGAGCTGCATATTATTGTTTATACAGGTAGTAGACGTATTTCATGTTAGCACTTTGTCTTACCCATCCCTTTATAAATATTGCATTGTATTATTACGAATGACTGCATGATTCCCTCCCATACAATGTATTGGATTGAGTGTGTTGCCATAAGTTTAATTTAATGTGGATAGGTGCTAGTCCCGAATGCAAATAAAGCACTGTGTGTTAGTTCCCTTGGTAACGCTGTGTCCTGTCTGGTTTCTTTGGGAATTCCAGTAACAGAGTTGGCTGTCTGCACTGGTCCCTGGACGTGATAAGAAAGAGCAAGGCCCGGGAGCCACAAGTGCCTTTGTAAAGGCAGTATTTGGAGACAGGGCAGGCAGAGGGGATGATACCTGCCTGGAAGAAGAGAGCTACAACCTGGTCCGGTGGAAGAGGTCCTGAGAGACCCAGGCAAGCTTTGGCAACTGGGTAAGAAGTGCTTCAGTCACCTTCGAAGCAGCGAGGAGTACAGCTCTGTCACAAGGATTTTATCCATTAAAGAAAAATAATTAAATGCATTTTAAGGGGATTGAGGCAGTCCATTTGTAATAACATGGTGCAACCCCAGATGATGCAATCTGAATATTACAAAAGGTGTCCTAAATATTGGATTATAATTGCTATAACGGCATATAAGCTATTTTATTTATATGTTTACTTGAACTGCTGGCAGGAGGTGGGTGATGAGGAATGCTCTCTGATGGAGTTCTGCGGTAATTGGCACCATCGTCAGACCCTCTACGATCCATATCTGCCCCCTCAATCATTGGGTTCCCCATCCGACTCTTATCAAACTCTTCATGATATTTTATCTGTAGGAACAATAGAGGTATAGATTTTTTTTATAAGCCAAAAGAAAGTCTTTACACACCACTCACACCAAGCAATGAATATACTTCTAACAATGGCCAGTCAGGCTTTCTCTTCTACCCATGTCTCACCCATGTCTCAGTAGCAAAGATATATAGATATATATATATATATATATATATATATATATTTTATCTATCTATATATTTATGTATAAAATAATCACACACATAACAAATGATTAATAACTATATAAACTGCACTAAACAAAAAAAAAAAAAAAAATTAAAGTACATTTCTCAATCATCCATTATAATCACCTTGTATCTGGATACTTGGAGGCTTCTGCTCCTTGTTTATAGAGCAAGAGTATTACTCTGCCAATCCCTCATCAATCTGGAGAGTATATTACATGTACAAAAGGTATGGTATAGAACTGGGACAGCACATAGCACTGCAGCAGTGATTTAGGCAAGTACCAAAATCCCTCACTAATGAAAGTTAGACAAGCCCTGGCAGAGTTCCTATTTAGCATTATAGTAAAGTGGTTTGGCTTTCTAAATAATGGAAATGTTGCAGCGTGCAGGTGGCATGTCTGAGTGTTTACACTTACATTACTGATCTGGTCCTGAGTTTTCTTAATTCTCTGGAGTTCAGGAGTGTCGGCAACAACACTGAATCCCTTGCCCTTATTCTTTTCAAAGTCCTCCTTGTAACGAATCTGAAGAATAGCAAAAAATAAACAAAAAAAAACTTAAAATGACACGGTTAACGAATCAGTGAAAAATAATCTCTCACACACACTAAAAACCGATTGACTTGGTAAGCGGTTAAATATGTCCTGCATCTCTAGGACATGCTTTGATAATATGCACTCTAACTCTTTGACATCAAGTATATTAACCATTTGCTGGGCAGAGAGTTACAGAACTTTACCGTTATAGAGCAAAACAAAAAAAACCTAAAATTAAAAAAAAAAAAAAAAAAATCTCTCTAGCTTCACAAGATATTCTTTCCTTTACTGATATCAGCAACTTTGCTGTCACTGCCCCTCCAGTTTAAAGGACCACTATAGTGCCAGGAAAACATACTCGTTTTCCTGGCACTATAGTGCCCTGAGGGTGCCCCCACCCTCAGGGTCCCCCTCCCGCCCGGCTCTGGAAGGGGGAAAGGGTTAAAAACTTACCTTTTTCCAGCGCTGGGCGGAGAGCTCTCCTCCTTCTCTCCTCCTCCGTTCCTCCTCCTGGGTTGAATGCGCACGCGCGGCAAGAGCTGCGCGCACATTCAGCCCGTCGCATAGGAAAGCATTTACAATGCTTTCCTATGGACGCTTGCGTGCTCTCACTGTGAAAATCACAGTGAGAAGCACGCAAGCGCCTCTAGCGGCTGTCAATGAGACAGCTGCTAGAGGCTTTGGGGGAAGGCTTAACCCATTGATAAACATAGCAGTTTCTCTGAAACTTCTATGTTTATAAAAAAAAATGGGTTAACCCTAGAAGGACCTGGCACCCAGACCACTTCATTAAGCTGAAGTGGTCTGGGTGCCTAGAGTGGTCCTTTAATCTCTTTGAATTACCACTGTCATCCACATGTAATGGCCTTATAGACTGGAGTCCATTCTTTTTTTTTTTTTTTTTTTATTATTTTTTATTTTATATGTGCACACATTAACAAATTAGCGTGCAGAGCCACGACAGCAATTACAGGCATTTCATAGCATTCCAAAGTATGGCCGTTAACATAGCACATTTGTATATACATAATAGCATGAGAGTAACAAGATTATGGCTCGTACAGCATCATAAGCAGACATATTCAAAGCAAAGTCGTTGCCTTTCTTCAAACTATTACAGGGACATCCCTGTATAGGCGTGATACATGTGCACATTGAAGCTACGTGTCAAACAAAAGTTAGCGCAATATCCTTAGCCTAGGTACCCCACTCCCTTAATTAGCATCCCAGGAGATAAATAGGATGCTTCACCCCCTATTTCAGGTGCATCATAAGCGGTACCATACTAAGTTCGGCACCTTACCCTATGAGAGAGGGTAATGGTGGCGAACCAGAGGAAAGTGTGAGAAACAAGAATAGAGTAGAGGAAAGGAAAGAATAAGTAAGTAAGATGGGGCAATGAGACACCGGGGAGAAGACCGCGGGAAGGGGGAGCCAGGGGAAGGGATAGGACGCGGGACACGCGCCCCCGCCCCCCCACCCCTCAAAAGCTTCTCCGTACCACCTAAGCCCCCAGCGGACTCCCATCCCATGGCTCTCAAACCTTACGGAATGCTCCCGAGGATCCCCGCAGTCTAGCCGTCAGGTCATCCATAAGTCTCACCTCCCTTATCCGTGAGTATACACTTGCCATTTGTGCTGTTTCTGGCTTTAACCAGGTGTATGCTATCGTTCTCCTGGCTGCCAAAGTGAGCTTATGGACTAGTGTCTGCTCCCGTCTCGTCCATCCGTCTACCGACCTACTGAGGAGATACACCCAAGGATCTAAATCTGGGGCTCTGGAGAAAACCTGGGTCAGCAGGTCCTTTATGGCCCCCCAAAATCCCCTGATTCTCGGGCATCCCCACCACATATGCAGGTAAGTCCCCTTGTCCCCGCACCCTCTCCAGCATTCGTCCGTGGTGGTTTTGTGCATCTTAAATAATTTGACTGGGGTCACATACCACCGGAACATTGTTTTGAAGGATTGTTCTTGTAATGTTACACATACTGAGGTTGTTCTACTAGCCTCCCAAATCTCCTGCCACTCTATTCCCTCAAGTTCCTCACCCAGGTCTTGTTCCCATTGTGTAATATAGGTCATCTCATCCCACTGCCGTGCAGCTGAGCAGAAGTGTGTGCAGAGTCGTGCTATGAGTCCCTTCAGTATGCACCCTGAATCGCACATAGATTCGAAGAACGTCAGTGTCCCCTGTGCTATTGCCTTTATATGGGGTTGTCTGGCATAGTCCTTAATATGCAGAAATCGAAAGAAATCCGCAGGTGTTGGGTGTCTGTCCTGGCGAAGTTCGTCAAAAGTAATTATGTCTGAGCCCCGGTAGAGGTGGTGTAGTCTTTGCAGGCCGCATGTTCTAAGTTCCTTAAATTCCTAGCCGCCATTCCCGGGGCAAACGCCCGGTTGCGCAGTATTGGCATAAGGGGTGAGGGACAGGACGCCAGCCCATATTTCCTGCTGCAAGAATCTCAAAGCCGTAGGGAGTTCAACACCGCCGGACAGGTGACCCCAATCGGTGGCCTATGTTCCCGAGGGACCCACATCACAAACTGGGGTAGGTCTATCCCCATCATGAATGCCTCTATGACCACCCATCTCCGCTCGTCTGGGGGTGAATGCCAGAGTGCTACTTGAGCTAACTGTGCCGCTATATAGTAGTGATATAGGTCAGGGAGGCCGAGCCCCCCCCCCCCCTCGTCCTCGGCCTATACAGGATGTATCTGGATATGCGATGCCTCTTATGCTGCCACACAAAATTCCCTATTGCCCGCTGGAGTGGGGTAAGTTGTGCCCTAGTCAAGGGAATCGGAAGAGCCTAGAAGAGGAACAGGGCCCTCGGAAGGACGTTCATCTTGACAGAGTGGATCCAAGATATTGGCTTGTCGATCCATCTGTCAAGATCTCTCATCAATGCATGCCATAAATGAGTATAGTTGCATGCATATAATTCGTCTGGGTCAGCTGTCAATTGAATTCCCAGATACTTGAGAGAACGTGTCTCAATCTTAATATGATGCTCTCTATGTATCTGGGCTATATCGTCCGTTGGCATTCTAATGGGGAGTGCACTCGATTTTGTCATATTCGCTTTAAATCCAGAAATTTCCCCGTAGGTTGCTAGTACCCCACTCAACGCAGTCATAGATTCACCAGGCCTCGTAAGCGTCAGAAGCACGTCATCGGCGTAGGCAGCTACTAAAAATTCCTTGCCTCCCACCCGTACCCCGTGGATCCCGGATGTTTCCGGAGCGCTTGCAGAAATGGCTCTAATGATAGGGCAAAAAGTAGAGGGGAGAGTGGGCATTCCTGCCTAGTTCCATTATAGAGCGGGAAGGGGGAAGGCGGCGCTCCCGAGATCTGAACCTGTGCTCTAGGATTACTGTACATAGCTTTCACCACTGTAATGTACTCCTGGGGGAACCCCAGATGCTGTAGCACCGTGAACATATAATGCCACTTAACTCTATCAAAAGCTTTTTCAACATCTATAGAGACTGCCAGAGTGGGCGTGTTCGTGACGGTTTGATTCCGTATGAGGTCTATGTTCCTATGGGTATTTTCAAACAATTGTCGTCCTGGGATGAAGCCTACCTGGTCGGGGTCTATAAGACATGTCAAGTGTAGGGAAAGTCTGTCGGCCAGTATCTTAGCTAGTATCTTCATGTCCTGATTTATGAGGGAGATGGGCCTGTAACTACCAGGCAGCAGCGGGTTTGGGAAGCAGTACAATGGAGACCAGTGTCATGTCCGGGTTCGGTGTGCCCTCTTCCCGAAAGTGGTTAAAGAGATTAAGCATGTGGGGGTACAAGCTCCTCCCTAAAGGTCTTATTATAGGTGCCGTCAAACCCATCCGGTCCCAGGGCCCTATTCCTTCCAAGCCCCCCGATCGCCCTAGCCACCTCCTCTTCCGTAATCTCTGCTGCCAACTGTACCCTAGCCTCTCTGGGAAGCCTCAGTAAGCCTAAATCTAGGAGGAATCTGTGGGTTCGGTCCGTCTCCTGGGCGCCACTCCGGGTGTCAGCAGGCGTGTGATTATATAATGTCCGGTAGAAGTCACGGAAAACGCTACCTCCCCAGGCGTAGTTTTCAATGAGCCGTCGGCATGTCGTATGGAAGTGATACGCGTACGTTGCTGTCGGGGGCCGTAGAGTCCTGGCTAACATGGTGTTCATTTTATTACTTTTTTCAGTCCATGTCAGTGACCGTGCCACATCATCCAACAGTAGCGTTCTTATGTCATGTCTAGTAGCCTCTACTCTCCTCAGTGTGTCCCCTGTAGGATGGGTCTGGTGCCTCTGCTCTGCAATCTTAAGGTCAGTAAGGAGTCTCTCTAGGGTTTGTGTTTTTAATTTTTTCTTTTTTGTCGCTTGACGTATAAGGGCTCCCCTCACTACTGCCTTGTGTGCTGCCCAGATCGTGGGTATTCTGACATCAGGCGTGTCATTAACCTTAAAGAAGTCCAAAATCTCTGTATGTATTTGTTCTTTAATCGTGGGGTCCCTTAGTAAGGAGGCATTAAGCCTTCAAGTCCAGGGGGACGCTACACATAGATTCCCCAGGGTGATCGTAACCTCAGCATGGTCGGACCACGTGATGGTCCCTACTGTCGAGTCAATGGTACGTGCAAGGCAGCTGTCATTAACTAAAAAGAAATCTATCCGGGAATAGGTGCCGTGTGGGGCTGAGTAATACGTATAGTCAACCTCACTCAGGTGATGGACTTGCCAAACATCCACTAATCCCGAGCGTGTTATAAAGTCGTGAAGCAATTTATCCTGCCCCACCACCCCCTCCCCACGCAACCGGGGCAGGCCCTTGCAGGTACTTCTGTCCACCGCAGGGCTCGGCACTGCGTTAAAATCCCCTCCTACAAGAATCATGCCTCTTGGCAGCTTGCGGAGCTTGTCTAGTAAGGTGGCCCAGAAGGAGCACTCCTGAGACTATAATATAGCGTCCCTCTCCGTCCGCATCCGTCCCTGTAATCTGCAGGGGGCAGCTACTGCGCACCAGGATAGCCACCTCCCTCCGGGCTTCCTTCCCCGTGCTACAGAGGAGGAGGCAGAACCCGGTTTGACCATCCGCGATGCTATAAAGCAGAGCACCCCCCCCACTTATCTAAGCTGTCCCCTATATCCCCCTCCTGCTGGGGTGAAGGATCCCCCCTCCAAGGTCTAGATACTTACTCCTACCCCCATCCCTCCCTTCCGGAGGCCAGGCCTGTAGATTCTATCCACCCGCATCCATGGTTATGCCATTTTTGGTTGAGAGCTATAAGAGTTAGGGGTGGTATAGCTACCCACCATGAGAGCGACTGTTTTTTTTTTTGGTAAAAACAAACCCTTATCAGCCTGCACCTCTCCGGCCGCTCATTCGCCCTCCTTCATATATCCTGTCCTGCTCCCCCTGGGTGCGCTTGCCTCCGGTTCCATGCGGGCTACATATCCCTGTCCTACCTCTTCCGTCCAATCCCCCCTCCGTAGTACGCATCCCCTTCCCCTCTGTGTGTCCCCCCCCCAGGGGGAATGTCCCCATGCCAGATCCCCCGAGGTGACCTGCCCCCTCACTGGAGTCCTATGCCTACTATATCTCCCCCTGCAACCCCCAGGCCGTGTGGTTACGGACCCTCCACTCCAGCTCGACTACTCACCCCTGCACCTCGCATAAAAGTGAGGGAGGCGGGATCACACAGTGGGGGTGCCGAGGGGGTTTAAGTGTCTCTCTACCGTCATAGGTGTCATCGCTAAAAGGGCATTGGGTCCCCCTCTTCCCGGAGTGAAGGGCATTGCCCCCCCCTATCTGACCTGGCGTCCACCCCCCACCAACCAGGTCCCCAGCGTTCATTGGCCCCATCGTATGGGGTGCCCATCCTGTCCGCCTGCCCCGTGGGCCCGAAAAGTCCTCCGTGGTAGAATCCAATTAAGATGCTCAGCCCGGGAGAGTGCATCCCCCAGCGGGGGTTTAAAACCAGGTCCTCCTTCCCCGTATCCCTCCCTGTCCCACCCCACCTAGTGCCTTATCCACCTAGCCGGTGCATCCCTTCCCCCATACAGGGCGACTCTCTCTCCCATGGCCTCCTTGCCTATATATCAATGAGTCCAAGTCTCTTCCTCTACATACCGCCCAGAGTTCCGTTGGTGGCGGAGTGATGGTGAAACGGCCTACAATACCCTCTTCCGGCCTCAGTGGCCTCCGGTTCCAGCTGCCTGCCACTCACTCAGCAGGGGCCGCAACTCCTCTACGGGCACCGGCACCGCTGGGAGATTCAAAGGGGGCACCAGCCCCAGGTCCTTGAAGACGCGCCTGTGGTCTCCCCCAGGTGTCAGCAGATGCACCCGACCGTCCTTAAATGCCATGAGGCGAAAAGGAAAACCCCAGCCCAGCGCAGAGCCTCCGTGATAGGCTTCCACTCCCGGCTGCGCTGGAGTGTGCTAGGTGCCAGGTCCTGGTATAGGGCTATGGTAGCTCCTCCATGCTTGATCGGCCCATCTCTGCCTTTCCGCAGCAGCGCCTCTTTGGTCGAGTAGCGCAGGAAACGGACGATGTCGTCTCTGGGTGCATTCGCGCCGGGGCACCGGGCCCGCAGGGCTCTATGTGCCCTCTCTATCTGCCACAGGTTCTCTGGGACATCCGGCAAGAGCGGTTTAAAGATGGTGAGTATTAGGTCTGCCAGGGGTCCCTCTCCCTCTCATTCCGGCAGACCCCTGATCTGGAGGTTATTTCGCCGGGATCGGTTTGCCGCGTCCTCCAGCGCCAAATCAGCTTCATATAGGCTCGAGGTAAGTATATTTACTTGGGCCACGACCTCATTGTGCGCTCTCACGGCCTCCTCCATCCGCTCCTCCAAGCGCCCAGTTCTGGCGCCAAGCGTATGAATCTCCGTCTGCAGCACCGCCGTGGACCTCTCGATCTCCCCAGCCAAGTAAGTTTTAAGCTCGGCCAGTTTCGCCAAAATCTGCGCAGTATCCCCCTGGGAAGAGTCCAAAACCCCCCTGCTGCGTGGCGGGGTCCAGGAAGGAGTGCGGCCCTTCTTCGGCGCCATTTTGGTCCTCAGGGCCCGCTTTGTTCGCCATCAGCATATCGATGACAGAGGCCCCAGCCTCCAGTCCTTTTTTTGGGGCCCTTCTTAGGGTTCCTCTTCTCCATTAGGTAGTGGTGTCTGGCGATATTTAGAGTGCTAATGTAGGCTTATAACAGCGTTTTCGTTGCAGAGCCTCACACCACCACGTCCAGTTCCCTCCGAGGTCAGGCCACGCCCCCATTCTTACAATACACTCACATTTATCTTTGCTTCGAAAAGCTGAATAAGAGCATGGAATGCTTAGCTGGGCAAAAGTCTCAACACATACATGGGACCTACAGAGAATCCATTCATTCAAATTGTGTCTGTTTTATATCCAACTGTAATCAAGTTGCTTATTTCATTTAAGAATGAAGGTAAGATAAAATCCTCTTTTGCTGAACCAAATAACATGAGTGACTGCAGAGCAGTGCAAAGGTGGACTAGTGCACTCCGACTGGAAATTAACCTATACATATTAACAACTATGACAGTGCCTACACAAATCCTAGCTTTGATTATTTCAATACTGAAACATTATTATTTATTGTATAATGGGAAATGTTCCTTGGTTGAAACTGCTCTACAACTACACTGAAAATAAATAAGTATTCCTTCATCTTCAAATTAAGGCGAAGTATTAGACGTAATGATCTCCTGTTAATGTATGTAGACAAATAACATTGGTATTTGAACAGTTTAGTACCATGACAAAAAATAAATACCTCAATATTTTGCAACTCTTTATAATGATATCACAGGCTCTACCTCATAGTAGGTCTGTGCAGTTTATGGTGCTTTGAGTTTTTTCTTTAAATGTGCTTTTTATTGGACAGTGCATCAATATCAGCTTTGTGACCTAATAAAAGGTTTGGTAACAAATCCAGCTCACCTCAGAGTGAGCCTTGTTAGGAGTATTGGAGGCCCACCATGGGTACTTCATTCCCTTGTAGGCAGAAAAGTCATTTCTACTAGTGGATAGACATATTCCCAACATGTGCAAAGGATTAGGGGATAAACACATTAATCCCAAAGTACAATTCAAATTGAGAAACTTTTCAATTGAGGAATGGCTCAATTTTACATCTACCTTAATAGGAATAACGCAGTGTTTCAGTTATTGGGAAAATCCTCTTAAAATAATTTGGAGGTGGTATCTAGCTCCGTATTAAAATTAAACATCAGATTCTCTAATATGTGTTGGGAAAATTGCGGATTAGTAGGTTCTTTGTCACATTCTATGGTACTGTCCAAAATTATCTTACCACTGGAAGGACAACATTTCCTGAAAACATTAAAAAAAATTGAAAGGCTCATAATAGGACACATTCTAAATTGCAGCTACCACAGTTATTCCCAGACATTGGCGGTCATTAGCTATTCCATCTGTCAAAGAAATGTTACACTCTGTACTGTAAAATAAATGTTACGAATTGGTTACTAGACAATCTTCACCAACACTAATAAAACTTGGTTATCATTGGGATATATAGAAAAAAGACATCAAGAAAATGATTATAATTGTTTACTATATATTGCCGAAACATATTGTAAATTTCAGACTTATACAGTAACCATGATACTTACTTAGGTAAAGGATACATAACAATACTACCAAAGAAAATTGTTGTAATTTATTATGTAGGATGGATATCACCCCCGCCACCAAGTTTTATATTGTGTTATTTTGTATTATTGAATACGTTTACTGTATTGCTTACATACATTTTTTTTAAAAATATACTTTTCAGATTATTTGCAGCAAATAGATAAAGCCGGAAATCGATCAACTTTTGCAATCAGACAGGTTCCAATATTCTTCTCCAGGATGTTAGATCCGAGGGTGAATGGACAAGATGCTCAATCGCAGAAATCGGATTTCTGTCTTTCCTCCCTTTCCACTAACACAGAGGATTCTCAGGAAAATACGGAAAGCTGAAGTGGAAGTTATTGCCATTCTCCCGTATAAGCCCAGGAGATTGTAGCTTCCGTTACTTCTCCTGTTATCCCAGGAAGATCCATGGGAGATTCCAGCGAAACAGAATTTACCGTCTCAATGTCAGATTCTTCATGACAACTGTAGACGTACAGTTGGTTTTGGATTCAACCATCAAGCTATTCATGAGAGGCGTTATGAGAGTCAGACCTCCAATAATACATTTTGTTCCAGCCTGAGATCTCCCTACAGTTCTCCACAGCATCACTGGCTGTCCATTTGAACCAATGGAATTTAACCCTAAAGTGTTTTTTCCAGATTTTCATCAAATCTGCTTGTAGGGCTTCTGATCTTTAGGATCTGTATTTTTATTCCCTATTTACTCTGTTTGAATGAGAAACTGCAGTTCTTAGCCTAGTCCCAGAATTCCTACCTAAATTCGTACTTAAAGTCTATCTCAACCAAGATATTGTTCTCCCATCCTTTTTTCATGAACCATCACTGGAGGTGGCTAGAACATTGCGAATTTATCTTGTGAGAACTAAGGATATCAGAAAATCTAACAGGCTACTCATCACATCACAAGTGCATGTTTGCTGTAACCGTCACCATACACAGATGGATAAAATCAGCCATTCAGAATGCATAACAAGTGGCAGGAAAAGCTGGCCTAAAGAAGAAGACAAAGCTCATTCCACCAGGGCTGTCTTGGAAACTTGGGCATCGCTGGCAGACCCCTCTACTGTGGAACTTTATAGGGCAGCAGTTTGGTCTTCCTCCAACACATTTGTAAGACATTATCATCTGAATGTTTTGGGTTCTTTCACCACCTCATTTGGGATAAGTGGTCTTCATTCTGCAGTTTTCAATAATAAAGTTTTTGTTGCAGCTATATTATTTGTGCTCTTTATTTCCACCCTTTTTTGAATTTTGATTGTCCCATAAGTGTTGCTGATACAGATTGGCCAGGAAAGCAGAAACATTTGAAAATAAGCAATTCTCTTTTCCTGGCTAATATTTGTGTCAGCATCAGCAATCCCTCCCTAAAGCATTCCTTTAACAGGCCTGTTTTAAACTAACAGCATCAATACCATGGCTGTTGGCAGTTTATAAACAACCAGGTTCACTGTTAAGTGGTTGATATGTGGATGCACAGTCCAGAGAGGACAGGGAGCCTTCCCTACTTTGTGCGCGCGCATGCTGCAGCAACTTTGCTGCTTGACTGACAGCCAGAGTGTAAACTTTTTCTTCTACTCCACAAATTAGCACTCTGGGTGTTCTTAAAGGACCATTAAAGACACCCAGACTACTTCATCTCAATTAAACGATCTTAGTTTTAATCATCTTCCTGACAGCCACTAGAGGCGCTTCTGCTGTGAGTATAGTCACACTCAGTTCTCACAGCAAACCTCCATTTAATTGGAGAAGTGCATCACTGGGCGCACTTTTTTTTGTTTGTTTTAAAGGGACACTGTATGCACCCAGACTACTTTAGCTAATTAAAGTAGTCTGGGTGCTGTGTACCTTTTGCACTTAGTGCTGCAATGTAAAACATTGCAGTTCCAGACAGCTGCAATGTTTACATTGCAGCGCCAAGTCTGCCCTCTGTGGCTGTCTACCAGACAGCCACTAGAGGGCTTCCGGAATCCAAACAGACTTTTGGTCTGTTATCTGACGCTGGACGTCCTGCTTTCTTATGTGGGCGGCGCTGGATTCAGGTAAGTGGCTGAAGAGGGGGAGGACCCATTTACCCTATAGTGCCAGGAAAACCACTGTTTTCCTGGCATTACAGGATCCCTTTAAGAGCATTGAATTGATCTGGAAGAAGATTCAGTATGACTTCGCAGGAAGCAGATCAAGCGGCTACAGTGACTGGATCTCAGCCCTGGAAAAAAAGGTAAGGAAAACCTTTCTTTCCATTTAAAAAAAAAAAATTTAGATTAGGGGTGGAGGGAATCCAAAAAAATAAAGGCAAACTAATGCAATAGTGTTCTTTTAAGCACCAAGCACTATCCAACAATGCAAATAAAACAAAATTTTAAAATGTATTTTATCAGTTAAACGGGTTTCCCAGACAACCCTCTAGATATGCATACACACAATCTGACTGGTATTCCTTACCTGGCTCTGCAATTCACTCTGCTGCTTCAGACGGAGATTTTCTGGTGTGTCAGCCACCATGGTGAAAGACTGCTTGGGGTAATGCCTAGAAATTAGCAAACAAAGAATGAGGCAATGAAAATACTTGACATTTTCAAACATATGGATTTTGCAGTTCTCTTAAAACATATTTCTGTAAAGCTGGAGATCTCATTACTGGGATACAGAGATTTAGCTTACTGGCATTGCATGGCTTAGCTCAGTAGAACTAATAGGCATGATGTTGTGAATAAAAAAAAAAAAAATAAAAAAAAAAAATTTTCCACACCCAACATCAATCCAGAGCCCTATATTCAGGCAGCTGCCGAGTGAATGTGATGTCATATCACTTCCTCCAGCAGTGGTCAGTAAGCATTCAACAGACAGTGTGTTGTTCCCTGACTCACAAGGATAGTGCTGCAGATCTTCCATCTCCTCTCCTTCCTCATAGCCAAAATTAGTAAATAACAAGGAAAAGAGTGTATAATTGAAAAAGCAGGTGTGTGTGTGCCTGTCAGAACGGTTGGTTAGGGGAGCATTTTTAACCTCTCCTGATTAAAAAGGGAGATAAGTTTTGGGTCAAGTCCCATTTGTGTGACACCATGGCAACCTGGATTTTCCAAGCCTGAATGCGTGTATATAACTTAAATTTCTTTAGTAGCATCAGTATGCCTCCTGGATAGACTGTAGCATACTTGATTGCACCAGTCAAACCTGTACACATGAAAGTACAAACACTGCTTTAAAACAGCGTATATGTATTTGCACACTCTTAACTGAAATGCACATGTCGGTGTGTTGGGGAAAGCAAAGTCAAACATAAATATTAATTTTGTTTGACAAGCTTGTGCCAATTATAACAGGTCTGTGCTTATCACCTTTCCTTCAGAGTCAACCTTGGCACATACACACCTTGAATACAAATACACACATTCAAGCTGATTGCATGTCTTTGGATACATGGCATGCAACCAGTCTCTAACAAACAGCACCAAAGTAGACAACTAGAAACATGTGAACCCCTCTCTGTTCATGTTCCCCAAGGTTCTGTCCTTTGTTCCCTATTCTCAATCTATACTACTTCCCTTGATAAACTCATCAGCTCAGTTGACTTCCAATATCACGTGTATGCAGTTGACACACAAGTCTATCTGTCTTCTCCTGATCTCTCACTGTCCCCTTTTGATTCGTGTTTCGGACTGACTTTCTGCTATTTCTAACTGGATGGCTTTACTTCCTTGAACTGAAGCTCTCCAAAACAGAACTTCTCCTCTTTCCTGCCTCAAACATATCTACGCCCGTGTCCCTCAAAGTCAATGGCACAACCATCAGCACTACCTCACAGGCTCACTGCCTATGTGCGGTCTTTGATTCCAACCTTTTCTTCACCACTCATGTCCAGTCAATCGCCAAATCCTGCCGCTTCCATCTCACAAACATTGCTTGCATCCGCCCCTATCTAACACCGGATGTGGCTCCAGCCTTGACTAATGTAATCAGCTTCTCATTAGTCTTACACATTCCCAGCTAAGTCTCTAATGAATACTGTGGCGAGGCTCATCTTCCTGTCCACTTGCACTATCCACGTTCCCCCCCCCTCCTATGTCAGTCGTTACATTGGCTTCCTGTAAGATATAGGGCTCAATTATAAATTCTGGTACTTGGTTACAAATCTATACTAAAGACTGCTCCTACCTAGCTATCCTCACTAATACACAAAATGTCCCGTTCGGGACCCTATGCTCTGCCGAAGGCCTGTGTCTATCCTCTGTTTGTACTCACATTTCAGACGACAACCTTCAAGACTTCTCTAAGGTTGCACCATACTCATGGAACTCCCTTCCTCGCTCCATTAGACTCTCACCCAGTCTCCATTCATTCCAACACCAAAAAAAATAATTGAAAACTTACTTCTTCAGGAAGGCTTATCAATGAAACTGTTAACATCTCTCGCTGCACCATAGTAACTCACCTTGCCTCCTCTTTTGCTACTGTATCACCAACAAATGTATATACTCCTAGCAACCTACTTTTCTCATACATGAAATGCATCTTACCCCTTGTGTCATTTTACCCAACCAAGAATTTAAGCTAATTTGAGCAGGGCCTTTGACATCCTCTGCTTTCAACTTATTTTGTTGCAAATACTTGACTTGTAGTCCACCTACTGTATAGTGCTTCAGAATATGTTGGCGCCTTTTAAAAACTAATAATGATAATGTAACTTATTCATAGAACACACTATATGTCCACATGAAGCACAATACAGGTCAAAAATTACAAAACTAGACTCCGTTCATGTCCAAATCCCGTTTTCCAGACATATTTCCTTTAATTAACAGACACACAACTTCAGTTCAGCATGGTAATCTTTTCAACTGCTGGACACAAGCAGGAGACTACAGAACCAGATTAAGTTATTTTGCCTTAGCTAAGTAAAACTATTTGCTAATTTAGGATGCAAAGAGCAAAGGTCACAGGTCATAGCCCTGGACTGAGGAATGTTTGAGGGCTCCAGGTGCAAATAAATACTTTCTTCACTCTGTAGTGATCTATGCAACTGAAAAAAACTCCAATTATTCTGCTCAAAGTTCTAATCATAACACAGCATTGAAATAGGTTCCAGCCAAAATAAATACGGGATGGGTGAAATGAATTAGTTCATTGGCTAATATGCAAGCATTAGTATTCTTAAAAAGAAAAAAAAAATTAACTACAAGAACTATATGCAGTTAATTTTAAATAAAAGTGTACCTGTCATGGTACACGTTTAATTAAATACTAAATTATATTTCATCTGTACATTGTGCAAGCAAATACATAGATTAAAATAAAATAATATTTCAATATAGGGCCCTTCACCACGCAGAGAGAAACAGACATCTCCCTAAAGGGAGTTCTCTCCTGCTCTCCAAAATAACAGCGCATGGGCAATTCAGTTCAGATGCTGGCAAAGAAGCCACTGTATCAACATATGGAGGAGGAACCAGTCATTACAGGTTCACTTTAATACAAATAATGTATCTTACAATCCTACAAAACACTTACATTAAATGCATACCTGTGTCAAAGGGTTCTCAGTTATACTAGAAAAGACAGTGCCGCTACATAAGGATAGCTTCTGTGCAAGTTACTACAGTGACTTAATGAGAACGTACATATATACAGATACAACTCATGAGGTCAGGCCTTGTAAAGCACTTGGTAAAGCAATTCCAAGAAATCATTTCTTTCACAAGTCTTCCAGAATACACAGCTGGATATGAAAAGGACAGACAAGGAATTATGCTTCAGATTTTGCCATGCTATGTTGATACACTATGTCAAAGGGTTCCACGGGGAAAATGAATTGGGAACCCGTGCCTTAAAGGACCACTATAGTGCCAGGAAAACATACTCGTTTTCCTGGCACTATAGTGCCCTGAGGGTGCCCCCACCCTCAGGGACCCCCTCCCGCCGGGCTCTGGGGAGAGGAAGGGGTTAAACATACCTCTTTCTCCAGCGCCGGGCGGGGAGCTCTCCTACTCCTCTCCGCCTCCTATGCTCCTCTTCGGCTGAATGCGCATGAACGGCAGGAGCTGCGCGCGCATTCAGCCAGTCTCATAGGAAAGCATTCACAATGCTTTCCTATGGACGCTGGTGTCTACTCACTGTGATTTTCACAGTGAGAAGCACGCAAACGCCTCTAGCGGCTGTCAATGAGACAGCCACTAGAGGCTTTAGAGGCTGGATTAACCTATTTATAAAACATAGCAGTTTCTCTGAAACTGCTAGGTTTAAAAAAAAAAAAAAGGGTTAACCCTAGCTGGACCAGGCACCCAGACCACTTCATTAAGCTGAAGTGGTCTGGGTGCCTAAAGTGGTCCTTTAAAGGATTACTTATTGATCTGATGTGGTCATGGTGATACGAATCTGGATTTGCAGTTTTTCTGCTTGAAAACTCAACATGCAGATTTTAACTGTGTGCTAGTTGCACACCCGCACACGTGACATAGGCAGCCCAGAACTGTTCAGGGCTGCATAATGTCAATTATGTGCACATTTTATGTCTGACATCAGAGCACTGTCTGCAAAAGGGAAGATAGCTCTCCTTCCTCCTCTCCACCCTATAGGCGCTCCCTCTCGACTCCCTCTGTAACTTACAGTTTTTTTTAATTATTGTAATTAAAATCTTACTCCCGTACCTGCTCCTTCCCCAGCTCAGATGGCGTGCATGCTTGTGATTGATCTTAGCTGATATCAGGAAGAAGTGTGGAAGATCAGTTTTACCCAACGATTGATTGCAAGTAAGTAAAAAAAAAAACTTTTTTACATGTATTATGGGGACAGGGGGAACGACACTTAAGAGTAGAGCATTTGAAATTTCAAAAATATTGTTTGCATAAGGGTTGGAGTAACCCTTTAGGACAGAGGCAATCGTATTTCTGTAAGTTCTGAACTAAAATAAAACCTAGAATTTGTCTTTTCCACCATAAATAGATAATGTTTCCTCTTTAAGTGCCCTTATACATGTTAGATATTGCTTTTTGGACATAAAGGTCTTTTTTATAATCTCCTATATGCTTTTTGAGCACTACATACACCTTATCAGAGAGCCTTGGCCACAGAGTACAAAATGTAACATTGCTCGCACCAAAACGTTAGGATGTGTTAATACGTCCTAACAGCACTAAAGCAGAGTAATAACTCTTAAGTAATAAATCCCTGCTCACACCAAACTGCAGGACAGCAGTTAAAAATGGCTGCAGCAGTGCTCATTTTGAGCAATGGTTAAAGTGCAACTGTCAGTCTCGGGCCATTAAAAATAGCCCCAGCAGACAGAGGGGAGCACCCTCTAGTAGTTACTGATACTTTGGTCTACATATCAAATTGTTGTCAATGGGGATTTAAATGACCATTTAACTTTGAGTGCCTCATACAGCTAATCTGTAACTCTAAGGCCACTAGTGGGAAGTTCCAGGTATTAGACTCATACCGAGGACACCCTGGTGTGAGTAGGGATTTAACCTTAGTATGCACCAAAACGTTTGTATGTGTTAATAGGTCCTACCGGCACGAAAGCCCATTAACAACACGCCCTAACATCATGAAGTGGTTAAACATAGCTTTTTATGCTTAAAGTACACTATAGCCACCAGCATGTCTACAGCTTATTGTATTTGATCTGGTGGGTATAATCACCCTTCAGGCTTTTGCAGTAAACACTGTTTTTTCAGAGAAAAGGCAGTGTTTACATTACAGTCTTGGGATACTTCTGCATGGAGACACTTAACTTTCCTCATAGAAATGCATTGATTCAAGGAGGAGATGCTGATTGGCCAGGGCTGTATATGGCTTGTGTTGGCTCTGCCCCTGATCTGCCTCCTTGACAGCCTCAGCCAATCCTATGGGAAAGCATTGTGATTGGCTTTTGTTTAACACTTCTGATGATGTTAGCCAAGCAGGCAGATCAGGGGCAGGGCCATAAAAGTAAGACTGCCATAAAAGTAAGATTTTGCTATATTTACAGGGTAAGGGGAGCCAGATAGTGGTTTAAGCACTATATAGTCAGGAATACATGTTTGTGTTCCAGACCCTATAGTGTTCCTTTAAACCTTAAAATGCTGTTATCCTTAATACCTTAAAAAAAGTGCTGCTACCAAAAGTCCAGAACTCACATGCATATACACACCTCAAAAAGCCAGTCAAACATTACTCACACAGAAAGCAAACATATCCCAAAACTGATCACTACTACAGCCACTACAACCACCGGCATCTCATATAATTAAAATCATCTGGTGAGTTTAAGTGTTTTTTTACTAAACTCCATTTTGTGTATTAAATCTGAATGTAAAACAGAGGTAAAAATAGCTGATCAGGGAAAAAATTTCAGCTATGCCTCAGCCTCAACTTTTTTTAAAATTCAGATTTAATTTAGGAAAATGCAGAGTTTTAGTGAATTACCCTGAAAATCACCAGACCATTTTGGAACAAGTTTCAATAAAGGTTTCACTATGTGGCACAGAAAAAAAACATAAAAAAAACCCACACATTGATTAACAAACTGGTGCAAATAAATAATTGAAATGTAACAAGTCAGCAGCCCTCAACTGCAAGCCTGCATGCATTTCCTCCATCAGCAGTTACATTTCTATCCACAACTTAGTAAAACAGAAATTACCGGTAACTCAGTGGGAGGTTGTGTTAAGTGACCACACAATGCTCCTATTTATGTTATGTCCACAGGGTGACAGGAAGTGACTTGGCCTACAAAAAGGTGACCGCTCATGAATACCTTCAGCAAAGGGGTTGTTCATGCCTAACCACAAGCATATCCTCTCCAAAACTTGTATGACTATTTATAGACAATATGACAACCTATGCTTAGTCAGTGCAGCACACACAACCCACAAAAAATGTACATCCTGTATCAGAGACAGGCAGGTAAAAAGAGAAAGAGCTTTGAGCAGAAGGCAGGGATGCAAGGTAAAGACAACCTTTATGATGCCAAAAACAGAACGCAGACTGCAAAATAAACAAGCTAGACAGGAGTAACTGAAGGACGTGCAAACAATCATGAAAAGAAAGAGGAGAAATAAAGGGAGCAAAAGGAGACAAAGAATCATTTGATCAAAAATATACATGCTTGGGCAGACAGTGACAAGAGGGAAGGTGCAGGGAAATCTATTTTGAGAGAAAGAATGTTATACAGGTAGATATGGACAGCTAAATAGATAGTAATATTGATGGAGAATATGAGAATATGTAGAAGGAAACACTCCGCAAGATAAGAAAATAGCTGAAAAGTGTATTATGGTGATAATACAGAGCGAGGCAACAAGCAGGGAAGGTGAAAAAAATAAAAAAAGAATTAGGACAGTAAGGAATACATCACAAAAAAAATAAATGTCATTTAAAAGTCTAACCCAAACAGTGTGAGATAGGACAGTAGGCATTGGCCGTGAATCAAAGAAATTATACTTGAAGGCCTCTAAATCATCATTAATATTTTGCAGGTCCTGTTTTCAAGAACTGCAGTTTGACTATGTCCAAGAGGAACCCCTCCTGTTTAGGACAGTGTCCTATGACATGAGGAGGAGAAAGGGTTGTGTCATGTCTGTGGAATGATAAGAATCTGCCTGCAAATTACCCCTTCCTTTCCATTCTCCCACAATGAACAATCAGCATACCTATGATGTTTTCTTGCTAATCCTACAATACCAGAGGGATAAGAAATGTGGCAAGGAGGTTTAGAGACAAGAGAGTTTTGTATTTTTGTTTATTTAACTTTTTTTTTTAAGAAAGGATACCCTTTCTCTTTAGTAATCTACGTTCCCTCTCATAATTCTTTTTTTCTAATGGCAAATAGTGACATCAGGGGAGGCATTAAGCCAGTTGATATATTGTCATATATTAGGAGACCTATAACATTTAATATGGAGGGATTTAATACCCTTATATATAAAATTTTGATAACTTCTAAAGCATCTTGTTAACATATGCTTGTTCCAGTGAGTGGTCCTGTTATTTTAATAAATGCTCCCATCTCTCACAGTCAATGCCCCCACTGTCTGTGGTTGTGCAACAGCACAAGTGTGCTCAATATGTATGCCAAGCTGGAAGCAAATTAATAACCGTTACTTACGCGCTGCAGTACGGCTTCTTGTCATATCCCTTGTAGTTCTTCATGTTCAGAGTCATTTTGCAGGTCTCGCAGTGGAAGCATGCTTTATGCCAGTACTAAAGAGAGAGAGAGACAGAGACATATGGATCATCAGTGCCAAACCAAACCAGTCTTTCAACCACATTCAATGTAATTTCAACAATATATGTGTGTGTATTTGTGTATATATATATATATATATATATTCCATTTGTAAGGGTATCTGCAGAAAGTCTGTATGCACGATGCCTGTCTGTCATTTGCATGTTAAACTGGGAACTCTGGGATAGATGTGGAAACATGATTTCCCAAGTAACTTTGTCCAAGAACTACCCCTTTAGGTACAACTTGAGTAATGCAGGTGATACACAATAGTAATTTGCTGTATTTGCACTGGAAGATAATTTGGCATTTTTATTTCATGTAAGTCAGCAGCTGAATACAAGGTGGCAAAGGGAAAGAGGTATTAATACCACTTTGCATATCACTTGTATAGCTCCATCTGGCGTTATAGTTTTTCCACTAGAGAGCGATCATGTCTCCAAAAGGGCAAGGGAGAAAAACACAAACTTATAATCTTAAAGGTAAATGCAGAATCATACATTAGACCAGTGGTTCCCAAACCAGTCCTCATGGCCCACCAACAGTCCAGGATTTATGTATTACGCCGTTTTATTCCAATGAAGATCCTAACAAAACCTGGGTCTTGAGGACTGGTTTGGGAAATGCTGCATTAGACTGTTTGTAATTCACACATAAGAAAATCAAGCTGCAACTGAGCACTGTGAAAATGTTTGCTATCGTCTGTGAATGTTAACTCACGTCTCCAATAGCAACCCAAATGCAAAATAATGAACACAAAAAGATGATGCAACCAAAGGGAATAGAGAAAAAAAAAACATGGAACACTTCCATGTGATTAAATATATACAATCAACACACACATCCTCAACTCTGCATGGACAGAAAGAGGTTAATAGGCTTTGCAAACATTCCTGTGAGACAGTGCAGAAACCTTTTGCACAGTTCTAGTCACAAGATTGCTGCACTTTTAACTTTTTATAGCACAGTCTGAAAGATCCCGCAACACCTGCATTTAGCTAGGTTACCTTTTTGTTTGTTCGCTGTGGTCTTTTGGGCCCACTCTGATCATACACAGCAGACTACCTCTAATGAGTCAGTCACTGAGAGAAGAACCACCACAGAAGTGTTTATGGTGCCCAGAGTGCCCTTGCACTTTTCTGTAAAGAAATAATTCAAATCCTTTTAGTAGAGAGAGATTTGCACACGTGGCAAATGCTGTGCCAATGAGATTCACCTCACAGAGAAACACTCTTCTCTACAGGGAAGTGTAACTACAGAATGAAACAAAACGTGAAGCCTTTACATTATTTCATTATTCACTAGGAAGTGCATTTAGTGGTTCTCTGACTGACGGTCACCTGAAGCACACTGACTAACAAATTTAAAACTTTAATTAGTCAGAAATAGCAATGCTTACACTTGTCAGAGTGAAAGGACAGCATCTCGGTACCAAGACCACTACATTAAAGGAACACTCCAAGCACCAAAACCACTACAGCTTACCATAGTGGTTATGGTGTAAGGAGTGCCCTTACATCACAACCACTTACAACAGTTTGACTTCTTACCTGGGGTTCTCAGGGCGCTGCTCCTTTACCAACAAAGGAGAGCCGGAAGCTCTCTGACTAACCTGCGGTCCGTCAGGTACTGATCCCTGCCTCTCCTCTTCCTGTATTAATACCCGGAAGCTCCTCCTATGAGGAGTTTTTGTTATCCCGAAATAAGCCATGCAGCGATTATCCCGAAATAAGCCATGCAGTGCAGGGTCAGCTGATTGGTTGAGGTGTCAGCTGATCGCTCTCAATCAATGAGCTAAACCCTGCACTGTCAAGCTTAACTTGGACTAAGAACCTCAAGTTGCAGAGAGGCAGGGACTAAGTCCCAGCAGACCCCAGGTAAAAACTGAAGCAAACAGTTTGACTAGTTACATTGGGAGGGGTGTAACACATTTTCTCCACATTCAAATTCAATTTTTTTTTTTTTTGCAGCTTTCCAAATGTAATGCCCCACTTCCCCATAGTTCAAACATTTCACCACGCAACTAACTTATCAAACAGACTCTGCGTACATACTCAGCTCAGCTAAGGAAAGATAAGTGTGAGCTAAGAGATAGTGTCCTTTTATTATCAGCCCCCTTTTCCCAACTTTGAAATACTACAGATAAGAAGACAGTGACTGATGATAATCTTGGCCCACCTAGACTGCCCACTAAGCTTAATTATTCCATTTATTCAATGATATTGCACAAATGAATGGTTCATAATAAAAAAAATTTAAAAAATAAAAATAAATAAATACTTGTAGACAATGGACAGACTGCACTGAAAGAGTTTATCACAAGCTGCACACAACAAAACAATGCCTCAACTATAGAATAGCCGAACTGAAGACATCTGAAAAGCAATTAAATAAAAACAAAAAACAACTATGTATGGACAGATCAGATGAAAATCAACCTTTATAAAAGTGACAGAAAACTTGGCTAAAGTAAATATGTAAACATAATAGGGAAGACACTACCCAAGCAATAAAACATGGATGAGGCATAGTTGAGGTTTTGGCTTGTATAGCCACCACTTTAAACATTACACTTTTACTAGTGATGTGTCCAAGATGGTAACAGAAGTGTGAATTCCTAATAGCAGAGCACTATATTTAGTGTTCAACCAAACTGATAAGCACTCATGACTGCAAAACAGACTTGACAAACTTATTAGGATAGACACCCAGCATCTGATGATTCCTACCGTGAAAATGCATACGGACTGTGCTGTATACAGCCATTAATGTTTTACACTATTTACTCATGCACTTCATATACAGCTAGTTTTAGAATATCCCTGCCAGAGAAAATTAGTCTAATTGGCTGAGCCAGTGATTACCCACTCACACAGCTCAGCATGAAATAATACCGGGTACTCCAGCATTAAACACTGTGTAGTGTTCTGTAATGATATAGCAAATTTCAGTGTCAGACTCAGAAGTGCATTCATGAGGAATCTGTGCATGAAAGGACTAATGCCATATACAGAATAGAATTCCTTATTTCATTCATTGTACTAAACAGAATATAGGGAAATCAGAGAATCCTCCAGTAGCACTTCATTAAAAAAGGGACACTTATACAGCAAGCATACCTAACAAAAATAGTAACCAAACTAGGAGTAACCAAGCCCAATACCACTCTGTAACACTGATTTATACAGGTCATCAGCGTTTGTGACTTGGGACTATGACCATTCAAAACACTGTCCAGGGCAGTTATTACTTACTATGCAACCAATGCTTGAGAAATGCATTTCCCACAAGTTCAGCCAGACAAAGCGGAGTAAACATCAAGGGACATATAGCTCACAAACATCTATGGTGCCGACATAAGCTACCATTAGCATATGGCTTGACCAATCCCAAGAGAAAAATTTGCCTAATTAATCATGATTTAACCAGGAACTACTCTCAGACAGGTAGAGCACTCAGAATCTCCTGTCCTCAAAGATTTTTTAAACAAATGGGAATCAGTGTTAAAATCTGAAAAGTGATTCAAAGTTTAAATTGTGTGGAAAGTCAACATGAAAATAATACAACCCCAATGTACATTACACAGGTGATTACACCATTTGCAAACCTCTTCACCCTATATCATATTTTGATAAATCATCCATCCCTAATGGCTGTAACATCCATCGCCACAATGTTGCACAGCTCACTGAACCCACCGAGCCACAGTAACAAACATCAGAGAAGTGGTCAAATAGCTTAGCACCGAACTCACCTCACCAAGATTTAGGCTTTATTCATACTATTAGAATAAAGTGCCAGAATATATTAAGTGTCCAATACCCCCAGTAAAAGAATACCTCCAATAGAAGTTTCTTAAAACTTACCTTTTTTTGTCACTCTAATGTTTATGAAATTCTACAGAAAAAATATAAATATTATGAGTACAAATTGAATATTTGGGGTGCAGCATGTAATGTTTATACAATAACAATTGCTCAATTCACTTCTTAGTACACTGTAATGATGTGGATACAGAATAATAGACAATCATGTAATAGGAGCAGTGTATCTGTGAAAACAAAGAGTCCTAATATTAGTTATTAAATACCTAAGTATTTGTTTTTTCCCCAGAGGCAGAAGGTGCAGTGGACTACGATTTATGTATGATGTAAAAAAAATGCTTTAGATCAGGGGTGTCCAAAGGGTAGATCCCCAGATGTTTTAAAACTACAACTTCCTTGATGCTTTATCATTCTAAAGGCTTGTTAAGCATCATAGGACTTGTAGTACTACAACTTATGGGTATCTACCTTTTGGGTACCCCTGCTTTAGATACAGTCCAGGGAGTCCAATTGTCTAAAGGAACTCAGTGAGGATTGGGGTGATCATCTTCTCCAGAACTCTGTTTTCACATTGTTGATTTTCAGAAAGGTCGACTAGGCATCCCTACGTTCAAAACTGCACTATAACTTTTCTTTAAAGGACCACTATAGTCACCCATACCACTTCAGCTCAATGAAGCTGTCTGGGTACCAGATCCCCCAGGTTTTAACCCTGCAGCTGTAAACATAGCAGGGTTAATCCAGCATCTAGTGGAGGTCTTCCTGACAGCCGCTAGAGGTGCTTCCGCGACGCTCAATGCGAAAGTCGCATTGAGCACGCAGAACGTTCATAGGAAAGCATTGAGTAAAGCTTTTCTATGGATGGTTTGAATACGTGCGTGGCTCTGACCGCGCATGTAGCTCCACTCGGGAGCTGACGTTGGAGGGGAAGGAGAGGTCACCAGTGCAGAGGGAAATCAGCGGTGGATTTACGGGTCTGAAGGGGTTTTAACCCCTTCAGCGACATAGGAGGGGGGCACGCCAGGATTCTCTAGTGCCAAGAAAACGGGTTTGTTTTCCTGGCACTAGAGAATCCCTTTAAAGAACATCTTTCCTCTAAATTAAGTTCAATTGGGCATCCTACTCAAACCATTGCAATACTCTCTAGAAAAGAGTAACAGTACTCAGATATGTCCACTTTCCCTCTAGCAACTGGCCAGTAGAAAATCTATTCATATGAACAAAAAGGTTTTTTTTTATAAGCTGTATTAGCTGCAGATCTGACTTCCTTTTTCCAACCTGGAAACTGTCCAATCAAATATTTCTCACAGAGAACCATTTGACTGGATAGCCATCAAATGCTGGTGATAGAGAAGAGCTGAATGCCTATTAGCCAAGAGCAAACTGTGCAAAGAGCAGCCAGGTATGGGAGGGGATGAGGATCAAGCTGTATGCACAGAGAAACTGCCATGTTTATAAATAGGTTAATCCAGCCTCTAATGGCTGTCTCACTGACAGCCGCTAGAGGCGTTTGCGTGCTTCTCGCTGTGAAAATCACAGTCAGAAGACGCCAGGGTCCATAGTAAAGCATTATGAATGCTTTCTTATGAGACTGGCTGAATGCGCTCGCAGCTCCTGCCGCGCATGCGCATTCAGCCGAAGAGGAGCATAGGAGGCGGAGATGAGTAGGAGAGCTCCCCGCCCGGCGCTGGAGAAAGAGGTAAGTTTAACCCCTTCCTCCCCATAGAGCCTGGCGGGAGGGGGTCCCTGAGGGTGGGGGCACCCTCAGGGCACTATAGTTGTCCTTTAAAGCGACATGAAAATGTTCAGTGAAAAAACACTCTTATAAAACTAAAAGTAATGTTGATACAGTGGGAGCATAAAATGCAGTGTGTATAAAAAAATATTGGGCTTGAAATAAAAAAAGTATAGCTTTTTCAGTAGATAAACTAAATTTGTAATTTGTTACACATGAAACTACAAGGTCTGGATATATTAAGAACACATGAACTATAAGGAACCTCTTTTGTCAGTACATGAGAACAGGCAACCACCCACTCCACCACCACAACAAAACAATGAAAAAATGAAATTTCAAGAAAACCAACTTATTTTCTCTCCTTTGATCCCTCCTACTGATTTATGTTGCCAAAGAGAATGAACGCGTTTCCATAAATGAGACAATCCAGACCCCTGAAACACTTAAGGGTGCTAATTTGCTTTATGGGTGTTTAAAGTATCTATTTCCGGAGAAAGTATTTTAACCACTTAAAATAAAAAGATACTGCAATAAAAGATACATTTTTGTATTCAGAGATGTCTCACGTGTAAAACAGTACCCCCTATGTACAGGTTTTATAGCATTTTGGGAAGTTACAGGGTCAAATATAGCACGTTACATTTGAAATTGAAATTCGCCAGATTGGTTACGTTGCCTTTGGGACTTTATAGTAGCCAGGAATGAAATTTACACCCATAATGGCATACCATTTGCAATAGTAGACAACCCAAGGTATTGCAAATGGTATGTCCAGTCTTTTTTAGTAGCCATTTGGTCACAAACACTGGCCAAAGTTAGCGTTAGTATTTGTGTGTGAAAAATGCAAAAACGCCAATTTTGGCCAGTGTTTGTGACTAAGTGGCTACTAAAAAAGACTGGACATACCCCGCTTGCAATACCTTGGGTTACTACGCAAATGGTATGCCATCATAGGGGTAATTTTCATTCTTGGGTCTCAAAGGCAACGCACTTACCTGGCAATTTTAATGTGAAAAAATGAAACACAAGCCTTATATTTGACGCTGTAACTTTTGAAAACACCATAAAACCTGTACATGAGGGGTACTGTTGTACTCGGGAGACTTCGCTGAACACAAATATTTGTGTTTCAAAACAGTAAAAAGTATCGCAGGAATAATATCGTCCGTGTAAGTGCTGTTTGTGCATGAAAAATGCAAAAAACGTCACTTTTACTGGCGATATCATAGTTGTAAAACATTTTACTGTTTTGAAACACTAATATTTGTGTTCAGCGAAATCCCCCGTAGAACAGTACCCCCCATGTACAGGTTTTATGGTGTCTTGGAAAGTTATAGGGTTAAATATAGTGCTAGCAAATTAAATTCCCTTTACTTTCGGCATGGGTTGTCAGCCAGGTCCTGCTAATTGTAATTAATTAAGATACCCAATTATGTAAAATTATTACATAAATATATATGTAGAATTAATATATATATATGTGAATATGTATATATATATATCATTTTTTAAAATATTTTGATTTATATATAGTGATATATACGTATATATTTATGTATATAGATATATATATTATTTCGTTCTACATGTATTTTGATATAAATATATATATATTAATATCACAATACAGTTAGAACGAAATAACATCTATATATTTTTGAATTATTTTTTAACGTATTTACATATTTAATTTTTTTATATTATATATATAAATATATATAACAATAATTATATATATTTAATCAGTATCAGTCTACGTGTAATTTGATATTTTTATATATATATATATATATATATATATATATTTTTTTTTTTTAAATAGTAAAATACACCTATACAGTGTACGTATATATATATATATATATATATATATATATATATATATATATATATATATATATATATATATATATATATATATGTATATATATATATATGTATGTGTGTGTATATATATATTTTTTTACACTTTTAACATTTATTTGATTTTATTTTCAGCCAGTAGGGGGACCACCTGCCATTACAGGCAGCCCCCCTGCTGGCAATACAGAAGCCAGCTATCCCGGCCATGTGATTGTGAGGTCCTCGCAAGGACCTCACTCTCACATGGCCGGGGGGGCTTCCAGGGGGTCGGACATGCCGCGGGGGGCTCCCTGGGAGTAAGTAATGAAAGACCGCAGGGCGTACTATTACGCCCGGCGGCGTTTAGAGACGCCTAAAATAGGGCGTAATAGTACGCCCTCCGGTCTTAAGGGGTTAAGCAGAGTTTACAATAAAGCTCTATTTACAGGAAGTATTTAGGAAGGCTGTGTTAGTCACATGCACACATGCAGGGAGGTGTGACTATGGTTGTAATAAAGTTATTTAACCTCTGTGTGACATGTCATGATTCCCTTTTATTCCAGAAGTTTGGTCCTTAAGGGACACAATAGGCAGCAAAATAAGGTAAGGTTAAATTGAAGATAATAGGCTCAAATTACCTGTGGCTAGTTTCTTTTCATTCAATTCTGTGTAGTTTTTCTGCAGTGCTGTAAACTGTTTTGCTGATTTAAGCAGTGTAACACAGCCTCCTTAGCCACCTCCCTCTCAAATTTCAACATGTTCCAGATTCCCACTCTCTGAAAGAAATGTACCTTTTGCACCCAATGAAAATAGAGGTATGTCTTATCTAGTGCAAAGAATGCTCACAGCACTGCAACTAGAGCCCATATGTGCTCCTCTCCCTTCCTCCTTGTAATGCAAGTAATACATTCTCCTCTAGTCCCTGTCAGCCAGCCTCCCTACCCAGTGTTAGCCCCTTCCCTGCCAGCCAACCTCACTACCCAATGTTAACCCCTTCCCTGCCAGCCAACCTCACTACCCAATGTTAACCCCTTCCCCTCCAACCCCTGTTAATCAACTTTCTAAGACAGAGAGAGATAACATAAAGCTCTATAGGTATGAGTGTGTCTCTTTATATTTATTTCTAATACACATATGACACTATAAGATACCTAATGTGGTGAGGAAATGATTCTGTGTGTATGATGTGGTTTGTAAGTTCTAGTGTCTGAATGCTGAGGACTCCGAGGAGACTTGAGCCGAGGCATTGAGGGCAAGTGTTGAGCTGAGTGAAACTCAGGCACACCCAGTAACGGTTGACATTACTGATTATCATAAAAAATGGAGTCTGGCTGAAGTACAGAAAGCAGGGAGACATGCCATGCAATCAGAGGAAGAGCAGAGAATCTGATCATAGTATAGATTAAAATAGGTACTTCTAAAGCTCATTTTACACTATTTGGGAGGGAAAAGCATTCAGTGACACTAGGTTTACTGTTGGAGAAAAAAAAAAGGATATGCATTTTTTTTTACCTATACAGTTCCTTTAACTCCTAAATGTCAGAGAACTTAGCAGTGGCCCCAGACAGACCTATGCTCTGTTTGCAGAGCTCAAAGTGAGCGCTGCAATTAGGGACTTAAATAGGGATTTAAATCCTCAGTGTTACAAAGGGTTAAATGTCTGCTCACACCAGAAAACACACCTGGGGCTCCCCTCTGTCAGCTGGGCTACGTTTAGTGGCTCCAATCTAACAAATGAACTGCATGCAGAGCTCAACATGAGACAGGCATGCAGCTCTTTTAATGAGGATGTCAATCTCATCAACAGATGGCAATATAGTGTTAAAACCCTGCTTACACACCAGGAAACACATGTATCAACAGATAACTGGGGCTCCCCTCTGTCAGCTGTGGCCATTTTTAGTGGGCCCAGACTTCTTGATGAGCTGCATGCAGTGCTGAAAGTCAGCGCTGCATACAGCCCTTTAAATCCACAGAGAACACTTCAACTAGATTCTCTCACTGGATCTAATGATGGGGAGACCCAATGGCATTTTGATCACTTGAGTGGCATTTTGAAACTTAGATGTTCACCTGCCCACCTCTCCTCTTCTTCGGGTTCTATGGACAGAACTCAATCATGAAAAACAAAAAACAGCTCATCTACTGGCCGTTTCGATTGTTTTGTGATATTGATGATTGCCCAAAATTAGAACAAATTGGAATTCAGTCAAAACCACACACGTCTAGTATATATATTTGTATGCAGATCCCAGTTTTACTTGATCTGCAGCTTTATTCTTCCCCCAGCTCACTGTTCCCAGCATGTCTGTGATATTTGCATGCACAGCAGTTACCCAGCAACCAAGAAAAAACACGGTAACAGCTGTGTATGTAAAAATGATAGGAGAACGCAGGATAAAAGTGACCAGAAAGTGAGCTGCATTTATCTTAAATCCCCATTGAAAATATCAACCTGTGGGCAAGTAAGCATTTTACACATATTCTCTCATAAAATGTGATGTAAAAAGTTTAATAATTGTATTGCCAATTATAGAGCTCCTACATAGTTCTGTACATTAAGCAGGCAAACAAATAAAAGCAGTTTAAAGGCTTGGTTCAACCATCATAACCACTACAACCACATGTAGTGGTTATGATGAGAGAAGTACTGTAGCCCCGTTTCCCGGTAACTGGGAAATAATTCAGCAACAGTTTTCTCTCTTACTTATGTCCCTGCAGAGCTCCAGGTCTGCTCTGAGGTTAGGTTTACAACATCCGGCTTCCGCAGAGCTGCAATGCTGCCGCTCATTGATTTGCTGAGAATTTTAGCTGACCATTCTCAGCTAATGAACAAGCATCTGGGCATAGAAATATGCACAGAATTCATATTAGCCAGCCTAGAGGTAGTCCCAAAATGTCTAAAGACATTGCTAGTGGTGGAGTTACACCATTACAGCAGAGACGTTAAACTCCTTACAGGCTGTATTTCAAAGCGAAAAGCTGCACATACCTACTCCAGACACTATGGCCACGTTTAATTCCTGACCTGGTCATGATGCTCGGAGTAACCCTCTAACTAGAAAAGTTGTATGTACAGGAACATAATGTGGTGATGGTCCTGCTCAAAAGAGGTTACAGTCTAAATTTAAAACTCCATTTGGGAAATTCAGGCAAAAATTGTAGATTTGAAAAAAAAATAATAATTCAGAGCAATTTTACAATTAAGGTTTCAAGTCAATTTTCAGTTATCACTGTCTCAGGAAAATTACAGTGCCAAGTTCCTGAAAGTGTGTTAGATTTTGCCCATCTACACCAGTAAGTACTAAGCACTATGGTATTAATGAACGATCACAAACACACAAAATTATTATTATGTACTAATGATGGCCAATCTGTGGCACAATAGCTGATTAAGGAAATTCAGGCAGTTGTTCTGGTGGAAACAACTGCTATGCCAAAGGATAACCATCACAACTATACAGATATATTTAAATCATGCATACATTACACAGCAATTTTGCCAATGTGCTTTGTTTTAACTTGTCCACTTCCGTTCCACCATGCCTGTTCAATCCACACACACCCTTGTAAAGGAATGACAATGGGAAGGGAAAAAAAGTAAAAAATATCTTCCCTTCAATGCCCAATATTCAACCATCATCTTGTTATCTTAGAGCAGGCTTCCCCAAACTTCGGCCCTCCAGATGTTGCTGAACTACAACTCCCATGATTCTCAGCCTATTTCATTCATAGAATCATGGGAGTTGTAGTTCAGCAACATCCGGAGGGCCAGAATTTGGGGACGCCTGTCTTAGAGTGACCCTTCGATTCTCTTCCCTATATGTTTAAAAAGGATTTGTAATCCATCAGTGATTTGAAGTGCTCATGGTCTGAAGTCGAGATGTACAGCATTTTGCAACGAAATGCTGAACATACTGAATTTAATCTCATTTCTTCGGGTAGGTGTAACTACCACCAGCATCATCATCATCGCAGCATGTAAGCATAGAATTACATACACTGCCTGAGCGCAGTCAGCTGACACTCTCAGGCAATGAATGGCGATGGATCAGCACCTGGCTTTTTCAGCTTTGACGAAGCACATCACCAGAAGAGCCTTGGTGCCCAGACTATTGTAAACCCCAGAAATGGGCCAGAGTGGTTATAGTGTTTGGAGTAACCCTATAAGGTTGGGATTTTTTGTGTGTATCAATATTATTAAAGTGCATCATCTACACATATGAAAATATTTATGAATGCAGCAAATCACAGTGGGTAAAAATCGATTTTTTTCAAAATAAATGAAATTTTTAAAAATTATTATTGCCATTTATATAGCGCCAACAGATTCCATAGCGCTTTAAAATATTATAAGGGGTGGATTGAACTATAAATAGGACAATTAAAAGAAATCTTACAGGAACGATAGGTTAAAGGGGACCCTGCTCAAACGAGCTTAATCTATAAGAGGTGGGGTGTAAAACACAATAGGGCAGGAAATGGAAGTCAAATAAAGTGGGAGTGAGGCAGAGCTAGAGGAGAGTTTAGAGTGTTGCCCTATAGGAGAGAGCAAGAGACAGGTATGTGAGGTAGAGGTTACTCTGGGAGGACATAAGCTTTACAAAAGAGATGGGTTTTAAGGCACTTCTTAAATGATTGAAGACTAAGGGAGAGTCTAATGGCGGTAGGCAGGCTTATCCAAAGGAAGAGAGCCGCCCTCGAGAAGTCCTGCAAGCGTGAGTTGGCCAAACGGGTGCGAATAAAAGGCTTTGGAGGCAAATCACACTGTAAAGATAGTTCTCTATTTCAGACACATTATAGTTTTATGGTTATTCATCATATAATAGAGATTAGGTATGCAGCACGTGACTATCAAAATGAATTTCATTAATCCAAGTGAATTGAATGTGTGTCTTCAGTAACAACATGCACTTAACAGCACAAATGTTATAAAATAAACAAAGTTCAGAAAAAGACCTTAAAGGGGACACTCCAAGCAGTATTCTGGTGTGTAGCTTCCATTAGATTTCTAAGCTAAGCACTGCATAGCTTACATCAGGCAGACTCCATGTAAAAAGTCAAACTGTTCTAAAACGGTAGACATGACGTAGAACACTGTGGGTGGAGCATCCGTAAGGTTCCAAGGCTCTGGTGAGCAAGCGTGGCTGCTAAGATGTTCCTGGCCAAAGACATACTTCCAATTGAAAAGGGACTTGGATCTTAAAGTAGACAGAGAATCAGTATTTTTCAAGGATTCTTACACACAGATTTATGCGGGAAAGTGATTGTGGGCTTTCCCAGAGGCCTTGAAGCAGGACATCGCTGAGAGTGCACTTGACAGGACTAGAATTTGGAGATAAAGTCAAGGGAGAAAACCCACTACTGCATCTACCGTGCTATATTGATCTGAAACTGATTAACTTTCCTCCTGAGTATTGCGTCTGCCTATACTTTTGGATCTTTTAATCCTCTAATAAAAGTGGATTGTGAAATTCTGTAGATACATAAAGTACATAAAATATCTTAAGACACACTCTGCAATTATAAACGCTGCGAGTTGTCCACAGTAGTTGATGGTGAAGTTGCTTCAGCAGAGATAAAAAAAATAAAAATACCAACCGGGGTAGAAAAACGTATATAAAAAAAAAGTTAAGAAATGCAAATATCGGGAACACACATCACACTGGTTCAAGAGATGCTGCTATTGTGTGCAATCCCCCTCCCTCCCCCCCCCCCCTCTATAAAAAAAAAAAAAAAAAAGGGTGACTAACTGAAAAATAGTCAGGAAAATATATAGAACTACATAAGGGGAGAGCATCACAAAATACTGTCAAACATTACAATAGCAGAAGAATAATTTATTGTATAAGAATACATAGACCGTAGCAAATAAATATAAACAAAAGCATCAAGTATAAATAACAAATGTGTACAAAGTGCATGAATACACAAATACTTGATAAATCACTAATGAAACAGATTTTTTTAAATTCAGAATTGATAGAATATTCTTAAAGGGTTCTCACACAAACAGAATATACTTTCAGGGCATCACTTTTCCTGAAAAAAAAAAAAAAAAAAGAAGGAAAGAAAGATAATAAAAATAATCCCAGTAGGGGACAGATGGGCAAAATATTTCTATCTCAGTATATAAATAATTTTGTCACACTGACATATTATGCAAGAACTAAAACTGAAGAACTCCAAGTTTGTATACACGAAAATCCTTCCGAACAGATAGAAAATGTAGTGCGATCAGGTGGTAGGTGTCCCACGCAGAGCACACAATAAGCTGTCAGGAGAGGTTGTCAGTGTCTTATAACAGTCTCCACAATGTTTGCAGATTTATCACTGCTGGATAGCAACATTTGAAAAATGGAGACATAAAAAAAAAAAAAAACACACACACACACGATACATAAGATATATGGATAGGTAGGGACGTACAGGCCACCCTGTATTAAAAAGCTGGAGATCTGTATATTAATCTTACCAGAGGCAAGGGGTATAAATCCAGTAGCACACAGGGGCTTGATAATGAAATAGTGCTGGATAAGTGATCTTTTCCGGCAGTCTGATGGTAGCTAATCATTGGATGTATTTCTTTCCTACAATGTGGATTTTATAGAATAAATGCATCTTTACTACAGTAATAGATTATATAATATTTTGTGCTGCTCCACCTTATCTGGTTCTGTATACTTCCTTGGTGAAGTTGCTTGCAATTTAATTAAAAGGCAGTGATACAAAAATAAGAAAGGAGAAAAAAATAGTCTCCATAAAAGAAACTGCAGAAGAAGGACAAAAAGGAGGTACAGGGATAAGCAGTTGTGATTGTACAAATGTTTGATTGTACGCAATGTGTGTGTATTTCCTTTGTTTGCATTATCTTTGTTCTTCTGTCTTGGAATAAAGAAATATTTTTTTTTTTTTTTTTTTTAAAGGGTAAGCAGTACTAGATTGATGAGAAACAAGATCACTAAAATATAAAAGTAAAATGGCTTCTAAAAGGAATCCAGAATCTAAACACAATTAGAAAAAAAATTCAAGAAGATAAAAGAGGAAAAAAGGATCTCAGCGTATTTGCAATTCTCCTTTAATAATGATGCAAGTAATATAATGAAGAGAGACCCACCCCCCTTCACTCAGCTCAGCCACTTGGACACAATTATTTTACAACCCAAGCAAAACTACAACAAAGTATGGACGCACAACTGATACAACTTAAAACAAGAGTTAAAAAAATACTTCCAGGTTCAATAAAGGAGGAAATGAGCAGCATAAAAGAAATAATACAAAATATGCATAATAGGGAGGAATCCATTGAATTTAACCAGGAGGAATCAAAGGTTAAAATAAATAGTTAGAAGTTTAAAATATGGTTATTGAAACTAAAATCAGAGGCTGAATACTGAACGATAAGGAAGAATCTTCCGATCAGGGGAATTTCAGGGAAATAAAATGAACAACATAAACAAAATATTTGTGGAATCTTTTTACTGCTCTAGGGTTGGAAGAAAAACAAAACGCTGGATTGTATAGAGGGCCCAATCGCACATTTAAACAGAAAAATCTCCCTGAAGACATTCCCCGAGATGTCATTGTTAGATTTACAATTTTTCCATTAACACAAAAAACAAAACAAAATATGATGGGTTTCAGGAATTCTAATTTAAAAGACCCAAAACATGAGAAAATAGCCTTGTTTCAAGATCAGTTGACACAAGACAAAATAAAAAATAAAAATTTCTAACTGATCTCCTTCGGTATTTAAAGCTTAAATATGCTTGGGGTTTCCCCTTTCGCCTCTACATTGTAACAAAAAACTGGCTGTGTTACAATAGACAATTTGGAAAAAGCCCAGGAATGGCTAGATTAAAATGCAGTTTACTAGTTGATTTTTTTGGTTAAAAGGGGAAGGAGGGCAGTACATTGACTAAGAATCTATATATTTATTGTGATAAATGAGAAATGTTTCATATCAATAAGACCACTTTATAGGTATTAAAATCAAAGTTTATGATGTACACTTAGTCATTCTTAATAGGATATTCTCACAAGGTGGGATGTAGAATCCCTATTGATTTAACACTATTTGATTTAATTAGTTGATGTGTTTTTTCTCCCTCTATCAATAAGTGTTTAATTTTTGCTAAAACTATTTGACTACTAACAATGTGAAAGCACTCCTGGCACTATAACCACTATATTGAACTGGATATACAGAGTACATCAGTCAGTTCAGAGAATTTGGGGCTTATATCAATATATGCGACAATCAGCTGTGACTTCCCCACAAACAAAAACACCATACAAGCACTTCCAAGGATGCACAAAAATAAAAAAATTAAAAAAAATTAAAAAAAGATCATGAGTGGTATCGTATCCAAATTCCTTAACATAAAACAAAATGGGAATTAACGGAACACTTTCTCCCACCAAACATTTTTAGTTAATTCAATGTTATGGGAGCAGAAGGGATCATGCTCCATCTTACATTCCTGCTAATGCTCTCAGCCGACTACTGGCCTGCCATTTAAAGAAATAGTACATACCACTTATCTCAATGGGTTGATGCACTCAGCCCATCACTGGCCACTCTGCTAAAGTTTCTCATACTACAGTGGCAGAAAGTAAGGGAACTAGAGAATCCATTGTGACAGTTGTGTCGGGCACTACAGGATTCATTTCCCAGTTAAAGCATTGGGAAATGGTTTATACCCCGATGGTAAGACAGCATCCTAACACTCATGCTCTTATTATAGTTGTAAGACAGCGTTGAGAGATGTGCATTATGCAATAGTCGTCAACTGGATTTCCGAAAGAATTCTACAGCTCAGTTCACTAAACGGTGAACAGTGTTGTGTATAAACAGATAGCAGCCATAGTAAGACTTATTTTACTGAGCAGTTCCAATCATCCTATGTGGGATCTGCTCGATAGAGGATTATGCGGATAAAATCAGCCAGATAAGACCAGACCTGAAAGACATTACTGTTAGAGTAGGAATTTCAAACTCCAGCCCACCACCCCCTGACGCTGCAAACGACATCTCCCATGATTCTCTGGCCAGCGTTTGCATTTGAAATACTCAGAGTTGTAGGCCATCCATCTCATCCTGGTGTGGGGACGATTCTGTCTGCAATGGACACTTTAAAATGTATTTTTTTATCAATTTTTTTTTTTAATTCTTAATTTTTTTCTGTGCAGGGGTTTACAAACAAGCTTGCCATGCAATGGCAACAATAGCAAGCACTTCAGGAACAGACGACATGGCATTTAAGAACATAGCACATTTTTAAAGTTATATTAGACAAGAGTATCAGGCTGGTCATACATGGCTAACTGTTACGCAAAAATCCAGACTCAAAAAACTAACTAGACATGTGGAATATAGGTAAACATGAAGATTCAGAAAGGTTATGAGCTACATATAGAGTGAAACATGTTATGTGGTTTTATCATACAATATGCTCGCTGTGAGTAGACCACTGGTGAAGAAACAAAAGTTTACGTTGCTGCATTACTTTAGAGAATATCAGCTATGACTAACAAAAATAATAGCAATAACAACAATAGCTCTGTGCACGACATACTGTGGAAAACAAGGTGGAGTCCGCCTATGTGGGTGGCCACAGATTGCAGGTAAAGTCCTGAAGCCTGGATCAACCAATTCCTCTGAGTGGAATTAGCAAGGTGTTGCCCGGAAAGTCCCCATGCTCGTCTGCATATCCGCACCACAGCCATGCACCCCTCCAGCTCCAGATTCCTGCAAGGTTCGACCTTGGCACTCCCAGAGCCTCTCTATAGTGAACGCCCTCTCTCTCCACGGGCAGCACGAGGGACCAGGATTAGGCTGTCACTCTTTGTGGCAGTTTCTCCTTGTCCAGGAACTCTGTAACGCCCGAGTTCCTCCAGACCCTCGCTTCTTGATGCTTTGTTTTCGGCGCTTGTGCGCCCGCTGTTTGTGTCTCCACCTCTGCGATGCTGTGTGTGGAATGCGCCGGATAGATTCAGTGCCACAGCGCTGACCCGCAGACCGGACACAGGGTGCCTCAGCTCAAACCACAGGAGTACAGGTGAGTGCCCGGCTGCTGAGTTTCGCCCAGAATTGTGCACACAGGAGATCGAACGCCTGAAGGAGTGTAGCCACCTGGGTGGGTGGCTGTGGGTAGGCGTGTGTCACAGTAGGCCTTGGTGGGGCAGCCATTTTAAACTATAGGCTGAGAATTTCAACGGGATATCCTCCACCGGTCCAAAGGGGGGGGGAGAAGCAGGGCTCAGGGACTGACACTGCAGGTGCCAGCAGGTCCAGGCCGGGAGATCAGCCGTTTCTCGCCTCCGTGGATCCCACCAGGCGTGTAGGCCGCAAAACAGTCCTAGGCCACAGGCTCCGTGGTGAGGCTTAAAACTTGTTCAGGTGAGTGCCCTAGCTTGCAGGGTTTGGTAAGTGCACTTTTGAGCAATCTTAAAGGGAATTATCCCACCGCAAAACAGGGGTTTAAAATCTTTAGGTGAGGAGCACACACCATGTGCACCCATCCACCATGATGGCCTGGCCCCGCCCCCCATCATTATTCTTAATTTAAATTTTTGGAAAGATATTTTAATATATTAGGTATTGCACTAAAAAGGGACAAATTTTAAGAACGTAATCCATTAATGCATAGAATTGGAAGTGTAATGTTCTATTTTAAACTATTACTATGGAACAAATGAGTGGACGCTATAAATTTGGTTGGTCTGAAACATCCCCTTTTCTTGTGACTGTCAGTAAAGAATGTTTCATTTCCCTTCCTCTAGCTTTTTACAGAATCATGACATGTGTCACTTCAACAAAAAAAGGTCTACAACAGTGACTTTATCTGGTGTTCAGTCAGTCTATCCAGTCCACTAATATGCTGAGCAGTGAATTTAATGTATGCAGTAAAGATAACTCACCTGCAAACGGAATTGCAAGTAAATTAATTATTAACAATTCCTACACCTTGGTCATTAGAAATGCTGCATGTATTAAAGGACCACTATAGTGCCCTGAGGGTGCCCCCACCCTCAGGGTCCCCCTCCCGCCCGGCTCTGGAAGGGGGAAAGGGTTAAAAACTTACCTTTTTCCAGCGCTGGGCGGAGAGCTCTCCTCCTCCGATCCTCCTCCTGGGCTGAATGCGCACGCGCGGCAAGAGCTGCGCGCGCATTCAGCCGTCGCATAGGAAAGCATTTACAATGCTTTTATGGACGGGCGTGCTCTCACTGTGAAAATCACAGTGAGAAGCACGCAAGCGCCTCTAGTGGCTGTCAATGAGACAGCCACTAGAGGATTAGGGGGAAGGCTTAACCCATTCATAAACATAGCAGTTTCTCTGAAACTGCTATGTTTATTAAAAAATGGGTTAACCCTAGCTGGACCAGGCACCCAGACCACTTCATTAAGCTGAAGTGGTCTGGGTGCCTAGAGTGGTCCTTTAAAAGATTTGAAATAAATGTTATCGTTATATGCAAAAGATATACATTGGCTGATAGTCTTTTCTACAGCAACAGGTTATAATTTTATCATCTTGCCATGGGTAAAGAGACTTCTGGATAAACTACTTGCATGTTTTAATAGAAGTTAAAATTGGAAGTATTGTAAAAATCTAAAATTTGGCATGCTTCAGATGCACCAAGTGCAATCCCTTACTCCCTTTGATTCCTGCTTAATCCCAGTGTCTCATGAAATGAATCTCATTATGTCACTTACCAGCTACTTGTTGCTTTCAGTTAAACAAAATACGGCTATAATTATGGTCACTGACGATGAAAGGTCGATAAGAATTAAAGGCATAGGCATGCGCATGGGCACACCCTAATCCCCATTGCACGCCTATGGAGTGAGACCGGCAGGGGAGATCTCAGGATCTCCCCTGTCGGCTCATGCAGAGCCGGTGCTATACGAGCGCCGGCTCTGCTCTCACCTTCCCGCCCCACTGCAGCATGGAGGGAGGCAGGAGAGAACCTGGGGAGCTCAACCAGCAGCTCCGCCGGGTTCCCCTTGCGAGTTCTGAGCGTTGCCGCGGCAACGCTCAAGTCTTGCGAGAGTGAACTCTAGCCTCACAGGCTACAATTCACTCTCCACTGGACCACCAGGGAAAGCAGCAGGAACAAGAATGCCCCCTCCCTACATAAGGTAAGAAGGGAGGGAGGATATTAAGTAATGTACCCCCACCTCCACCCCCCACACACAGCACAGCACCCCCACACACAAAGAAACACAGCATCCCCACACACACACAGCACCGAAACAGCACCCTCACAGGACCCTAACAAACACACACACAAACACCCTCACATCACACACACAACACCCTCAAACACAGCAGTGTATGTATGTGTGTGTGTATATTATATATATATATATATATATATATATATATATATACATACACACACACACACACATACATACATACATATATATACACATACACACACACACACACACACACGGCGTGTGTTTGTGCTTTAGGATGCACACCCTAATGCAATAGGCTGCGCACGCCTATGATTAAAGGGACACTCTAGGCCAGGGGTGCCCAAAAAGTAGATCCCCAGATGTTTTAAAACTACAGCTTCCATGATGCTTTGTCATTCTAAAGGCGTTCAAAGCATCACAGGAGTTGTAGTTTTACAACATGTGGGAATCTACCTTTTGGGCACCCCTGCTCTAGGCATTCACTAAACTGGCTTGTTAAAGGTAAGTTTCTTTGAAAACCAGTTTAGTAAATAGGGAGTCACTGATTGGCTGCTCTCCCAATCAGCAGCACCCGTGCCGAGAGGCACTTCACGCTTCCTAAGTAAAAATTCAGAAGCAGGATGCCGCATGGGGAGGAGCTGAGACCAGCACTGGAGGCATCTTTGTTGTTAAATCCCTTGAAAGCTGTTTAACTCTTCCATTAAGAGTGCCTCTGGGGGCATCCTGGCACCATAAAAACGTATTTTCGATTACAGTGTTTTGGAGCCTGGAATTACATTTTAAGTAATTATGCTATGAACCGCAGGCTTCCTTGACGCAATACACCTAATATTAGTATATCCCATAGATATGTATCTATGTGTGCTTTAAAGGACCACTATAGTGCCAGGAAAACATACTCGTTTTCCTGGCACTATAGTGCCCTGAGGGTGCCCCCACCCGCCCAGCTCTGGAAGGGGGAAAGGGGTAAAAACTTACCTTTTTCCAGCGCTGGGCGGAGAGCTCTCCTCCCCGTCGGCTGAAACAAACCCGTTTTCCTGGCGCTATAGGTTTTTAAGGAGCCCCTCCATCCCACGGGGGTTAAGGGGTAAAAACCCTTTCAGCTACTTACCTGAATCCAGCGCCGATGTCCCTCGGAGCTGGGTCAGGCCCTGCCCACGCTCCTCCCCCACCGACACCAGCCGGCGGGGGAAACCTAATGCGCATGCGTGGCAATGGCATTAATGGGGAAATCTGACGCTGGAGGTCCTCATGCAGAGCGTGAGGACGTTCAGTGTCAGATAACGGACCAAAGGTCCGTTTAGATTCCAGAAGCTCCCCCAGTGGCTGTCTGGTAGACAGCCACTGAGGGCTGACAGAGCTAGAATGTAAAATGTTTTACATTGCAGCACTAAGAGCAATAGGGACACAGCACCCAGACCACTACAATGAGCTGAAGTGGTCTGGGTGCCTACAGTGTCCCTTTAAGGAACAACAACATTCCTGTCAACTGTTAGACAGTATCCAAAGGTTACATGGCATGAGTATTAAACACTGAAAGTGACATTTTTTATAACTGAGTGTTCAGTTCTTAAACACAATACTTAGAAGCAATGACTGTGCATTCTAGGTAAATGATGGTGCCCCTTGCAATATAGTTCAGATAAAGTTAATGCCCTGCAGTCAATTTAGAACAGACTTCACAGATTATCCTAATATAAAGATTTAAAAAAACAGACAATACTTTGGGTGAAAAATGCCAGATTCAGGAAAGAGGTGTGGCTACAAACAACTGTAGGTGAAACTGTGAAATATTCCTTATTTTTCTACATTCAGTCAGTCTCCTTTATTAGACGTTGTAATTTGTTCTACTCAAACAAATGACTGAATATTATTTTATGCCTCCTTCACCAGAGTCTCCTTAATGATGCTGAGAGGAGTACACTCATATAGGAAACAGCTCAAGTCCTAATCACTACACAGTCCAGTCAAGGATAATGGGATTTTGACCTACCACTGCTTATATACTAGACAACAATTAAAGGGAATCTATAGTCACCAAAACAACCTTAGCTTTATGAAGCGGTTTTATTGTTTAGATCATGCCTCTGAATTTTCACGGCTTAATTCTCTGCCATTTAGGAGTTAAATCACTTTTGTTTCTGTTTATGAAGCCCTAGCCACAGCTCTCTGGGCATTCCTGATACAGCCTGCATGAAAAAAATGGTTTCACTTTCAATCAGATGTAAAGTGTTTTAAAAGTGTTTATCTCCTACTCTGTAAATTGAACGTTAATTACACACAGGAGACTTCTTCAGAGTCTAGCAAGCTACTAACAGAGCAGGAGATATGAAATTCTAAATGAAAGAATTCACAACAAAAGGTAGTGTAAATATTAGATGACTTTACAGGGAGTGTTGAAGAAGGCTGGGTAAGTCACATGCAGGGAGGTGTGGCTAAGGCTGCATAAACAAAGTTATTTAATTCATAAATTGCAGAGAATTGAGCAGTGATACTGCAGGGGCATGATCTATAGACCAAAACTGCTTCATTAAGCTAAAGCTGCTTTGGTGACTATAGTGTCCATTTTAAGTTAGATCTAACAAATGCTTTCCTTTAAGCTAGAAACACTAAAAAGAAAAAAAAAACTGAAATACACTTGTCTTGTGTTAGGAGTAAACCATTCTATGGTGGGAAAACATATACAGGGGTTATTCACTAAGTGAGACTTCAAATGTAATTCAAATTTAAGGCCAATATAGCCGACTTTGGGAAGGTTTGCCATTCAGCTACTTTAGCCTTTGAATCTTCACTTTAGTAAACCCTGTCAGAGTTGCTAATTAATGTTAGACTTTAAAGTGAATTTTAAATTGTACGCTAAATCAGCCAATCGAGACGCATAGCTGAATTTTTCCAACTCAGAAAATTTTTATTTGAAATTGTCATTGATTCTTGATTTTATGAATAAACGTTTTAAGTTTCAGTCTGCTATTCAACAAAACATGAAATTCATGCATGATGTGAAAAATTGTCTATTGGTTTTAAGTCAGTGTACCTCTGTTGCTTCCTCTAAACAGGATTGGTCAAAACACAATGTCATGTACACAGGACATTTCCTACACATGAAACACAGAATTGCATTGTATATGCAGGAAGTGAATGTACAAGCGTAGATTTTGACACAGAGGAAGTTGTATATCTTGGCAAGCTTGTACAGAACATAAAAGGAAATACAAGCAGGTTAAGATGACCGTTGTAAAGTGCAAAATCTCAAAATGTAAGAGTAAAGTCCTTTTTATTTTTAATAAGACACAAACACACATACAAAAAAAAAAAAACAGTCAGTATAGTGGTTATGGTACACAGACGCCTTCCTCTATTGTCAAAATGTTTGCAAGTGGTATAATAAAAACTGGTGTTATTACCAGCGCTTGCAAACCATTCTACCGTTCTAAGATAATGTGAAATTTGCACTGCATTATACATATCAATTACATCTAACCTAGATGGTATTTGATAGGCTGAGAACACTTGGCTAACTTAAAGGACCACTATAGTGCAAGGAAAACATACTCGTTTTCCTGGCACTATAGTGCCCTGAGGGTGCCCCCACCCTCAGGGACCCCTCCCGCCCGGCTCTGGAAGGGGGAAAGGGGTAAAAACTTACCTTTTTCCAGCTGGGCGGAGAGCTCCTCCTCCTCCCTCCGATTTCTGCTGACGCTACGCAGCTGCGCTACAAGATTCAGTCTCATAGGAAAGCATTTACAATGCTTTCCTAGACGCTGGCGTGCTCTCACTGTGATTTTCACAGTGAGAAGCACGCAAGCGCCTCTAGTGGCTGTCAATGAGACAGCCACTAGAGGATTAGGGGGAAGGCTTAACCCATTCATAATTATAGCAGTTTCTCTGAAACTGCTATAATTATGAAAAAATGGGTTAACCCTAGAAGGACCTGGCACCCAGACCACTTCATTAAGCTGAAGTGGTCTGGGTGCCTAGAGTGGTCCTTTAACAATATGCTCTCAGGCTATCACTGCAGCTTAAGATGGACACATTATACTGATAATGCATAAATGTATTTACCCTATGAATTAGACAGTCTTTTCTGGCTGTTACCCTTACCCCAATCTTTCCACATCTCCATTATTGTCAGTAATAAAAAAAATTTAAAGGGACACTCCAGGCACCCAGACCACTTCAGCCCACTGAAGTGATCTGGGTGCCAACTCCCATCACCCATAACCCCGTAAGTGTAATTATTACAGTTTTCATAAACTCCAATAATTACCTTGCAGGCTTAAGTCCGACTCTTCCGGCTTCTTAGACTACTTCTCGTCGTCTAAACGATGCTGGACATCCTCACGCTATGCACAAGGACCTTGAGCGTCACCGGAATCCCCGTAGGAAAGCATTAAATAATGCTTTCCTATGGGGAGGTCTAATGGGCGCACGGCGGGGAAGGAGCGTGGGCGAAGCCTGAACCAGCACCGAGGGACATTGGAGCTGGTTTCAGGTAAGTGTCTGAAGGGGCTTCAGCGACGTGGGATGGGGGGCACTCCAGGATTCTCTAGTGCCAGAAAAAATCCCTTTAAAAGGAAAACATCTACAGATGTTTTCTATTTAAGGTATGTTATAGTCCAAAGGTTGATCAGCATTAATTATGGATTAGATACGTAGGATGTAGCTGTATACATATTATAGCAGAAATGTAAATATTGCATAGTTCCATTAATCTAAGTTAATTGAATTTGTGTCTGCAGCGATAAAATACCATTGTTACTCCACAAATCTATGTACACGCAATGAACAATTGTAATTTAAGTCATACTCCAAATATGAGTGATTAACCTGTTAAACTGGAGTTCACCGTGCAATAATTGCATCATTATCTACGTACTTCTAATGGCATATAGCAAAATCAGTTCAGATAACTGTTAAACTAAACTAATCTGAAACGTTACTATTTTAAATATGAAATCTTTATCTGGTTGCAAATATTAAAGGAACACTATAGGGTCAAGAACACAAACATGTATTCCTGACCCTATAGTGTTAAAATCACCATTTAATTGGCTTGCCCCATTAGAAAGAGTTAAAACGTAACTTTTTCAAGCGCTGCGCTGGTCCACCACGATCCACCTCTTTGGCTGACATCAGAATTGAGGATATCAGCCAATCCAAAGAGTTGTAGTTGTTTTAGTGACTATAGTGTCCATTTAAAGATTATAACAATCAGCAGTAATGAGTGTTTACATTTAAAATTGATTAGATAGATACACACGTTTTCAGCATTAAAGGGACATGCATCACTTTGAGACAACTGTCTCATTCAAAAGTCATTGTCTGACTTTGCAGGCTTTAAAAAGCAGGTAAATTTTTTTTTTTCATATTTACTTGCTTCTTTCTTACACTTTTCCAGACACACTGCTGGGGTGACAGTTATGTAACCAATCAGAGTCATATCCCTAGGAATGCAAAAAAAGTGCACCAGGCATGCCTGACAGATTTACACATGTGCATTTGGAAGATCTCTTCACCTTGCTACATCCTGACAGGGAAAGAAGAGAGGGAGTGTGATCATGCACAGCAGGCTCTGGTGTCAGGTCTCTCGCTCTCCTGCTGCTGCACAATGATGCCCTGTTTCTGTCATTACTGGCCTGGCATGAAATGGAGATGGGCAGAGGGGGGTAGTGGGGTGTGAGGGGGGCTAAATAAACTCCCCTAGCCGAGAGGCATGTCCAACAATGTAATGTTATATTGGTTTTAAAAGTATTTACTTGCTAGTTAAAAAAAAATATATATATTGTGAAGTGATGCAGGTCTCTTTAATTATAATTACACATACAGCATTGCACCTGAATTATCTGCAATGCATATCTTACAGAAGACATGGACTATCTTTCTTTCAGTAAGTATTATCCCTCAAGCTATAGAATATATATTCATGATTGTGCTAGTATAATGTGTAGAGTAACTCTGCCTACCTAACAGGTTTTGTGGATTTCAGAGATCATTTTAGAAAAGCAGGTCATCCAAGGAGTAATCAATCAGTAACTGGTTGATGTGGACTAGATGTGCATAAGTATATAGAAGGGAAAGAAAACGGATAGACGTGCAATCAGTATCAAATATATACACTATAATAAATGGTAAAGAACAAGAAATATTAGGTATTAGAAATATAATGCATTACAAATGTTCGTGCATACTTAAAGGGTTACTCCAATAACCATAAACACTTCAGCATTTTGAGGCCATCCTGGTGCTTGCAGCCTATATGTGAAGCATTTCAGTACAGAACACTGCACATACAGCGATATTTAGGCCAGCTGTTTGAGGTGTAACCCTACCTCTGGCAACGTCATTAGCCAGTCCGGAACAAGAGTTAATTCTGTGCATATTTCTTTGCACATAAGTTAATACATATGCGGAGCAAGCTCAATTGATGCGCTCAGCTACTAAATGTGTGGCAGGATCGACATCAGGCATCTATAGCTTTGTAAAAACCAGAGGCTGGTCAGCAGGCTTTCCACGAGGCTCGATATCCTGCTAGACCAAGGTAAGTGGCAAACCATTGCTAAATTGTTTGGCCCCTAAATGGGGAACAGCGCCAAACACCAATGGAATGTGCCTGCAGATTCCATTTATTTCTTAATTTTAGAACTTTGCATCACTTTACTACATGTTGATATAATTCATTAAAAAAATATTAAAAATAGTAAGGAGTAGGAGTAAGAATAAACTAAAAAATTGTTTTTGCTACGACAGACCTTGAAAAAAAAAATTTTAAAAAAGAAAGGAAGAAAGACAACTCTACTTGCTTTCAAAGTTAAACTATGCACCGTCATTTACAGTTCATTTCATTCATAAAACCACCTAGGGACAACATAAAAAGGTTTAGCCCAGGCATGCTAATAGAAAATAAGATTGGTTGTAGACCATGCACACAGGAGTGGGAAAAGCAATGTTTCTTATTTGCACTGTTCTATGCCGAACAAGTGTTGCATATTTTACAAAGTAAAGATAATAATAAAAAATAATACATGATGCCTTTAAGAAAATTTACACTCTGTTAAATGAGGCTAGGATAGGAAAATTTAAACATTGTATTTGATAATTATTCAAATACCCTGAAAGAAGAAGTTACCACTCAGCTTCATAAGGCTGCTGATTCTTCCATCACGAGATACAAGGTGATTTAACCATTTAAGGAGTTTCATACCTTCTGAACCAAAATTTACACCCATTATGAGGACAGGCTATGAAGATATCACTAGTCAGACAGGTTTATTTTTTGGGGGGTTTGCATGGTTTCTTTGATTTGTGTTATACTACCTGTCTTATTAGTGGAAATTAATAGATTTCTGATTTAATCTTATTAACTAGTTCTTGCTATTTACCTTCATTTTGCACTGGATTCATTATATTCTTGTGCATAGCTCAGACAGACTGACATTAAAATTCTCGAAGGCTTGGTGATCCTTAATAAATTCCTATTTTTGCACTAATTACACTATTAAATAAAAATAACGCAATTTATATCTTGAGACAGATCATATATATAGGATACATTATTCACACATACATCTAAGAAAGAAAAATTAGTTTGAAACAATCTGAAGTGGTTTCAAGAGTGAAAAAGGGTGTCTTTATAAAACAAAAAACAACACCTCTACACGTCTGCACTTCAAATCAATAAAATAACGGTATTTTACAGGAGAAAAGGCTGCCCCATGTTTGTGGAATGTACATCTTCTAAAAAGATTCCATAAAATATTTGTGTCTGTGAAACACATGGGCCATGGGAGAGCAGAAGGTTAAAGTTGTAGTAGCACACATACAACCTCTGATGTCACGCATTTCTTAATAGTGCTGGTAAGGAAAATAAGGAAAAAATAAACATCTGCTTAATGGGAGAGGGATTACATGTTCACTATGCCATCCAACATGGGAAATGGTTTCTCTTGCTTGTTAGGTACATGAGGAGAGGTGTCTGTTTCATGGAATAACATGTGGAGAGAATTGAATCACCTTAATGAGGGAAGCAACTAGTTTGCATGGAAAGAAGCAAGGTTCACGCAGATATTCAGAACAGAGAAAAGTGTTCCCCATTACAGAAAATAGATTCTTGGCCAGAAGCAGGAAGGACTGGCAGTCAGTACTCAGACAAAAAGGTTTGAGCTATTGCTGTAGGGAAAAGGCAGAGAGGAAGATAAAATCCAGATAATTGCTATGGGGCAGATAAAAACTATTAGCTTCTCCAAGGAGAAGAGGAATTTTTTTATTTTTTTTTAAATCAATCAGGATGGAAAGAGAGATTCCAAAGATGACTTCTTACTTTAGTCAGCCTCTCACGTCACAAGAGGTGACTAAAGTCCAGCAAGTATTCAACACAGAAAACTTATTGTGCAACAAGTATGCCTTACACGGATATACATGCAAAAACAAAGAAAGGCACACTAATAGACAGGCATTTACACAACACTCCAGAATTTCTCAGTTCTATTCAGTTTAACGGAAGCAATACACAAAAGGAGACCATTTACAGAGGGTGGGGGACTTGGGCGGAGAAAGTATGCTGCAAGATATTTTAGCCCTGGGAAAATGAACTCCAGGGGTCAGAACTAGGCAGTGTGGAGGGAGCTATTAACCCTTGCCAGCACACAAAAAAAAAGTATCTGCACATCACAGAAAGAGTTAAACTAAAACATGTTTTTACAAAGGTGACCTAAAAAATAAAAAAATAAGTCAAATAAAACTGCCTAATTGTGGCTACATGCATGCAAACAGATAATGGAAAATTTACAGTGCTTCCCCATAAACCGCTTTTTATTTCTATTCCCTTTCAGTAGATTGTTTTCCTAATGCATATAAGGATGTATTTACATACATATATATTTTTTGTAATTGTTATTGCTTAGCTCGAATTATGATTTTCGGAAGGAGGGGGTTGGAATTCCCAAGCAGGAAGACTGAGAGGGAGTGGATGTAGGAGGCGATAACGGGTTAACTCCAAGAAAATAAATGATATGCAGTAGATGCCAGGGATAGATGAACTTCCGCATACATGGCGGCTTAAAAGAGGGAGGGGGCATTACACAAGAGGCAGACATAGGGGTCAAAATGTACTCAAAGCAGAGGATAAGAAAGAGGCTCTGTATTTTGCAGAACAAATCTGAGTGACTTGATTACTCTGTAGCAGGGACTAGCTGTGATAAGGGATTCAGGATGTGCACCACCCATCAGCAGTATGTACACATCAAGTAGCACACTAAACAGAAACAACTGACCAATATAGAATATCACCTACAGAATGTTTTGCATATTGAAAATTTTGAGTCAATTTATTGCAAACAATTATTACAACCCTATTCTGCGATGCTTGAATAAATGTAGTCTAAAGATATCCACAGACAAATGAACAATAAAATCCCAGATGAAGATGAATTGTGACAAGTAATACTTGTTCATATTCAGGACACATGGCCAAGTACAACTGATACTCACTGTGTGTGTTACACACACACACACACACACACACACACACACACACAAGGTCAAGTACCTAGCATGAATGTTCTATAAATGCTGAATAGGCCTTGTAGGTTACTCTATGCGTACAAAGACATGCAGTTTATTGAAATGGTACAATTAAGAGATTTCCTGCCACAGCAGTTAAAATCCAACATTAGAATAAGAAATTGAAATGAAAGAATACATTTAACATGGCAAGGTTAAAAAAAACAAGTAATTCAGCATATGAGGTGTATGTAGAAATTCTAGTATACAAGTAGGAAGGCCTAAAGAGGAAGGCCCGTTTCATTCTAAAAGGTGTGTAGCCAAGTTTAGACTGAAGGATATGCAGCACATGTAATGTACACTATGCCAAGTATACCTGATACTTTTGCTTAAGCCCTATGTGCATTTTACAATGTATTAAGGATTTAATAGTACAGTGCTACATGACAACGGTTTGCAAACATAGGGGGGTGTTCAGGATGTATCACTAAACTAAGTGCATATATGTAATGCTAGATACTTGGGTGCAGAGCATGTATAACAAAGGAAAATGCACATGTGCTTGGAATCATACTATTGGGCAGTTCAGCCATGTGTGGGAACCTTAAGTGGGCAATGTACTTATGAGAGAGAACAAACCTGGTCTCTGAACATATCCCTTGGAGTTATACATTGGGGTAAATGCATGGGTGAATATCCAGTGTCTATATAATACATATTGAACAACATGCATGTGTAGAGGACTTGTATGTGCACTACAAGTCTCAGCAGAGAGCGCGTATGCAAACAAGGCGCTTGGGCAGAGTACTTGTATATGAACTACACGCCTGGGCAGAGTACTTGTATATGAACTACACGCCTGGGTAGAGTACTTGTATATGAACTACACGCCTGGGTAGAGTACTTGTATATGAACTACACGCCTGGGTAGAGTACTTGTATATGAACTACACGCCTGGGTAGAGTACTTGTATATGAACTACACGCCTGGGTAGAGTACTTGTATATGAACTATATGCTTGGGCAGAGTACTTGTATATGAACTATATGCTTGGGCAGAGTACCTGTATGCAAACCCCGTGCCTGGGCAGAGTACCTGTATGCAAACCCCGTGCTTGGGCAGAGTACCTGTATGCAAACCCCGTGCTTGGGCAGAGTACCTGTATGCAAACCCCATGTTTGGGCAGATTACCTGTATGCAAAACCCATGATTGGGCAGATTACCTGTTTATGTAGGTTATATGCTTGGGTAGAGTAAGTGTATGTAGTCTACATGATTGGGTAGATTATGTGTTTGTAATATATATGCAAGGGTGGAGCACATAAGAGCTAGTATATGTTCCATGAAGAGTTTTTATAGAGGAAAGATGAGTATGTGTATGGGATAGGTAGGCAGAATATATGTATAAGATGGTGTATATTGGAAGGTAGAGCATGTGTATGAGAGTGTTAGGAAGGCTGGGTATATGCATGAAGTGGTGTATATTGGAAGGCAGAGTAGTTGTATGATAGAGTGTATATTGGAAGGTAGGGTATATGTATTATATGGTGTATATTGGAATGCAGGGTAGAGCTATGAGATTATGTATACTGGAAGGCATATCTATGAAGTGGTGTTTATTTGGAAGCAGGGTAGATGTATGAGATGGTGTATATTTGGAAGCAGGGTAGATGTATGAGATGGTGTTTATTGGGAAGCAGGGTAGCTGTATGAGATGGTGTATATTAAAAGGCATGGTAAATGTATTATATGGTGTATATCAGGGTGAAGGGTATATGTATGAGATGGGACATGTAAAATATGGTGTATATCAGGGTGCAGGGTATATGTATGATGTGGTACATATAATGTATGGTGTATATGTATGATGTGGTATATGTAATATATGGTGTATATTGGGATTCAGGGTATATCTATGATATGGTATATGGTGTATATTGGGATTCAGGGTATATCTATGATATGGTATATGGTGTATATTGGGATTCAGGGTATATCTATGATATGGTATATGTAATATATGGTGTATATTGGGATTCAGGGTATATCTATGATATGGTATATGGTGTATATTGGGATTCAGGGTATATGTATATGTATATGGTGTATATTGGGATTCAGGGTATATCTATGATATGGTATATGGTGTATATTGGGATTCAGGGTATATCTATGATATGGTATATGTAATGTATGGTGTATATTGGGATTCAGGGTATATCTATGATATGGTATATGTATATGGTGTATATTGGGATTCAGGGTATATCTATGATATGGTATATGGTGTATATTGGGATTCAGGGTATATCTATGATATGGTACATGTAATGTATGGTGTATATTGGGATTCAGGGTATATCTATGAGATGGTATATGTAATGTATGGTGTATATTGGGATTCAGGGTATATCTATGAGATGGTATATGTAATGTATGGTGTATATTGGGATTCAGGGTATATCTATGATATGGTATATGTAATATATGGTGTATATTGGGATTCAGGGTATATCTATGATATGGTATATGGTGTATATTGGGATTCAGGGTATATCTATGATATGGTATATGGTGTATATTGGGATTCAGTGTATATCTATGATATGGTATATGGTGTATATTGGGATTCAGGGTATATCTATGAGATGGTATATGGTGTATATTGGGATTCAGGGTATATCTATGATATGGTATATGGTGTATATTGGGATTCAGGGTATATCTATGAGATGGTATATGTAATGTATGGTGTATATTGGGATTCAGGGTATATCTATGATATGGTATATGTAATATATGGTGTATATTGGGATTCAGGGTATATCTATGATATGGTATATGGTGTATATTGGGATTCAGGGTATATCTATGATATGGTATATGGTGTATATTGGGATTCAGTGTATATCTATGATATGGTATATGGTGTATATTGGGATTCAGGGTATATCTATGAGATGGTATATGGTGTATATTGGGATTCAGGGTATATCTATGATATGGTATATGGTGTATATTGGGATTCAGGGTATATCTATGAGATGGTATATGTAATATATGGTGTATATTGGGATGCACAGCATTACCTTGTCCAGACAGTTGACTTTCTCCGTTGGATAGACGATCTTCATGCACCGGGCACAGCTCGGGTTCATTGTGGCGGGCTGTCTGTCTGTCTATATCTGTAGCTGTCTGTCTCTGTGTGTCCCTGTCACAGTGTCCGTGGAGCAGTCTAATTCCCTCCCGCTCACTCAGACTGTACAGCTTTCCTGCTGCTGTCTCTCTGGACTCTCCTGCTCTCTATTCCCTTCTCCCCGGTGGTGTCCGGCCGTCTCTCGCCAGCAGTCTCTTGCAGTCTCTTTGCCGCGCTGTCGGTGACAAACAGTAGGGGCGGGGGCCGCGGGGGCGCGCACTGTGCGGGTAACACTAGGTGGACCCTAGCGTGGAGCGCGCACCAACCAGCGACCGCAGACACGGTGACGCGCAGCGCGAGCCCGGAATGGGGGCGTTTCCAATGGGAGCGAGAGTGTGACTGTGTGTGAAAGGTGTACATTACAGTAACTGTGTGTACAATGTATATATTACAGTAACTGTGTGTACAATGTATATATTACATTACAGTAACTGTGTGTATAATGTATATATTACACTAACTGTGTGTACATTGTGTATATATTACATTACAGTAACTGTGTGTACAATGTATATATTACACTAACTGTGTGTACTACACAAACTGTGTGTACAGTGTATATATTACAGTAACTGTGTGTACAATGTATATATTACACTAACTGTGTGTACAGTGTATATATTACATTACAGTAACTGTGTGTACAATGTATATATTACACAAACTGTGTGTACAATGTATATATTACACTAACTGTGTGTACATTGTGTATATATTACATTACAGTAACTGTGTGTACAATGTATATATTACACTAACTGTGTGTACAGTATATATATTACACAAACTGTGTGTACAGTGTATATATTACACAAACTGTGTGTACAATGTATATATTACAGTAACTGTGTGTACAATGTATATATTACACTAACTGTGTGTACATTGTGTATATATTACATTACAGTAACTGTGTGTACAATGTATATATTACACTAACTGTGTGTACATTGTGTATATATTACATTACAGTAACTGTGTGTACAGTGTATATATTACACTAACTGTGTGTACAATGTATATATTACATTACAGTAACTGTGTACAATGTTTATATATTACAGTAACTGTGTGTACAGTGTATATATTACATTACAGTAACTGTGTGTACAGTGTATATATTACACTAACTGTGTGTACAATGTATATATTACATTACAGTAACTGTGTGTACAATGTTTATATATTACAGTAACTGTGTGTACAGTGTATATATTACATTACAGTAACTGTGTGTACATTGTGTATATTACACTGTGTGTACAATGTATATATTACATTACACTAACTGTGTGTACAATGTATATATTACACTAACCGTGTGTACAATGAATATATTACATTACACTAACTGTGTGTACATTGTGTATATATTACATTACACTAACTGTGTGTACATTGTATATATTACACTAACTGTGTGTACATTGTGTATGTTAAAGTAACTGTGTGTATATATTACAGTAACTGTGTGTGAAATGTGTATATTATACTAACTGTGTGTACAATGTGTATAAATTACACTAACTGTGTGTACAGTAGCTTTATTTATTACAGTAGCTGTGTGTGAAAGGTGTATATTACAGTAACTGTTTGTACAATGTGTATATATTACAGAAACTGTGTGTACAGTGTATATATTACAGTAACTGTGTGTACAATGTGTATATATTATGGCAACTGTGTATATTACACTATTACACTAACTGTATATATTGTGTATATTACAGTAACTCTGTATAAATATATATTGCAGTACTTGTGTGTATATTACAATATCTGTGTGTACAGTGTGTATTGCAGTACCTGTGCTTGTACGTTGTATGTCCTCTAGTGCATGTCTGTGTATATTGTGTGTATTTCAGTAGCTGTGTGCACAGATTATGGTACCTGTTTGTGTGCATTGTGCATATTGTAGTACTTTTTGTTTACAATACGTGTGCGTATGCTGGTGTACCTATGTGATTGAACATGTTATGATACACTGTGTTAGTAATTAGAAACATTTGTGTAGATGGGGCTCATAAATGTACAGAGTGGTGTATGGATTATCTCTTATTTATAAATTGCAAAGAAAGCACTTCTAATGAAATGGAAGAATGTGGTCTATGTATACTGATATTTATAAGTACAAGTTTTATGTGTAGGTATACGTATGTGGTGTATATATTGAGACATGTACAAATGTTTAACTAGTGTTAACATTGAAAGGGGTGCCCCCTTCGTTATTTTTGCTTATTCATTTAAAGTTTATAAAACATTTTGTCCATTGTATTTAAATTTTCGTGTGAAATTTTGATACTTTAACATACATTTCACGCTTCATAGAAAAGAAACAGTACATTATGCTAGCCATTGCAAATTTATAAATTAGATAATTTTTTTATATTCCAATAGGGGGCACACATGCTCTAACACAGAAGTATCTTTCCTATAGTTACACCAAGGCTCGCTTCATTCGGTGGAAGCTATTGCATTTAACCCCCTACAACACAATGCTTCCCCAGGGTGAACTGTCACTAAAAAAGTGAATGGCACATTCTAACAGCTAACTAATAGTTAAAGCAGTTCTGTCATCTGATCCCTCCCTACCAAATGACCATTTCATAAAGATAACATTTTCATGACATACTCACATTGACTCTGTGGGAATTTCAGTGACATTCCAACACAGTCAAATGATATATTGAGACACAGTAAGAACTGCTATGTCTTAGTATTTTTCAAATGTGTTACAAAAGGCTGAGATACCTTTGTCAAGTTTTGACATTTCACCAGCTGACACCAGTGATGGTATTGGGGAAAAAGGCTCTGTGAATGGAGGGTCTACTCCATAGACCTCAGTGTTGTATTCGTGCACATGAGGTAGAGTACAACACTGACGTGGGCTAATAGCAGAAGTGCCTGGAGCCAAAGAGGACCGGTAGAAGGACCATGGCAGTGGCCGAGAGGGAAAGGTTCTGGTAAGTACCCTGCATCCCGTGACCATCAGACACCCAGGGAAGCAGTCGCCATCGGGCCTCTTAGGAAATGATGCAAAGACCCCAGACAGTGACACAGCCGCTTTGACTCTTGCTTTTACACTTATTTATGGCTATCATGGCCGCCATCAGGGGATGCAACCGATACAGCAATATGTGGCCAAGAACTATATTTCCAATGTATGTATATATATTGTGTTTTCTCCGAAAATAAGCCCGGGTCTTATATTATTTTTTCCCCTGAAAACCCACTAGGGCTTATTTTGGGGGGAGGTCTTATTTCGGGGGAAACCGTATGCTAGAATGCAGGTCTATGTTCAGGGAAATTTCCCGAACATGGTTAAGCGAACGGCTAGGGCTTATTTTCAGGGTAGGGCTTATATTAGGAGCATCCCTTGAAAATAAGCTACAGCTTCTTTTCGGGGAAACACGATAGAGATATATATATATATATATATATATATATATACACAATACCAGTAGAGAGCACTCAGGAGTCTTTCAAGGTAAATTTCATCTGTTGCTTTATTGAGCAATTACAAATTCACACAACATTCCAGTCGACGTTTCAGTCTGTAAAATACTTTTTTCAAGACAATTGTGTATGTGAGATGGATACCTTATATACAAAAAATGCAGTGATCCTATTTGGAGGTGAACAGGTGAAATGTAACAACGGATCAGAGTGATGTCATTAGAAGAACTCATAAGATCCGTTGTTACATTTCACCTGTTCACCTCCAAATAAGATCACTGCATTTTTTGTATATAAGGTATCCATCTCACATACACAATTGTCTTGAAAAAAGTCTTTTACAGACTGAAACGTCGACTGGAACGTTGTGTGAATTTGTAATTGTTCAATAAAGCAACAGATGAAATTTACCTTGAAAGACTCCTGAGTGCTCTCTACTGGTATTGTATACAATATGGTTGGAGACAGCACCGGAGCATCAAAAGACCGGGAGCATTGAGTGCTGGGACCTGGGACGTATATATATATATATATATATATATAATTAATACAATGTTAAACAAAAATCTGCCCACCAGTCAAGCCATAAGACTTGCTTTTCCCACAGAAATCCCATAACTGCAGTGATGTTACAACCACAAAGGATTCTGGGTGGGCATATGCAAATTCGTTTAACAAAGAATCACATTTTTGCCTCATTCCATTTTAAACATGGATTCCTTTTAATCTGTGTTTGCTGTATACAACAGCTTGCATATGCCCACCCAGAATCCTTTGCGGTTGTAACATCACTGCAGTTATGGGATTTCTGTGGGAAAAGCAAGTCTTATGGCTTGACTGGTGTGCAGATTTTTGTTTAACATTGTATTAATTATCCACAGACTTCAGGTGGAAGGGTTTTTCAATCAAAATTTTTATCCACCATAGCCTATTTGGATTTTTTTGTAAATATATTTTTATAGGATGTTTTAAGTTTGTCAGTATCGAACATGTCATGAAAAAGCTTCGGTATGGACACGCAGGTCCCATGATGTTTGCATGCAGGCAAATTGCATTGGTACAGATGTTACTCATGTAGATATACATTGGAGACACGCAGGTCTCATTTAATCGTAAGAGGCATAAATTAGTTGGACTCGCAGGTCCTATGGCATATACCTGGCGTGTGCCCCTAAGCTATTTTCAGTTTGGGTACTCAGGTCCCCTCTGTAAGAAACGTTTACTGTCATTTTAGGATGTGTCGTTTGGTCAGGTTTACGTTGAGTTTTTTATGCTCAGTCAGTTAATTGAGGCAGCATGTGTCTTAACATGGTGTATCTTTCGTAGATATATTTTTATTGGATGTTTCAAGTTTTTCAGTATCGAACGTGTCATGAGAACGCTTCAGTATGGACACGGCGGTCCCATTATGTCTGCATGCAACCAATTGCAATGGAACAGTTGTTGCCCATGTATATATACATTGGAGACTCGCAGGTCTCATTCAGTCGTAAGAAGTATAAATTAGTTGGACTCGCAGGTCCTATGGCATATATTTGGCATGTGTCTCTAAGCTATTCTCATTTTGGGTACTCAGGTCTTATCTGTATGAAGCGTTTACTGTCATTTTAGGGAGCGTCGTTCGGTCAGGTGTATGTTGAGTTTTGTGTGTTCAGTCAGTTAATTGAGGCAGCATGTGTCTTAACATGGTGTATCTTGTATGTGAAGAAACTTTTGTGTGTGTTGTGTCTATGTGGGTGTGTGTGTCTGCGAATTCCATGAATTGCAAGGCGTTGGGTTTGAGATTTGTATTCCGTCGTATACT